GCATTTTGATCTATGAGTAAGTAGAACTCGTTCACCGGGAGAGGCTAACCTACTAGCATTGGAAGGTACACGCGTCACTCCTACCTTACAGGTATGCTCTTTGGGTCTACACACTCATCCGGGGTGCAGCATCCTAATATTCTGCTCCCCTTGTGTCCATCGTTAACTGCGGCGGAGTTGCCACTGCGAGATGACCGGGTTGAAGGAGCAGTGGTTGTGCGGCAGCCCATCGATGCAATACATGAGCGAAAATCGGGTGCGTGGACGCACAGAGGTGCAGCAGATAAATCTGGGAACGAGTCCACTGGTCAGCCGTGCGCTGGTGCTTTGTCGTCTTGTGGGAATCGTGAACGGAGCACACTACGGGTCATGCTGTCAACTAGCGCTAGCACGAGTGGTTTCTTGTTTGCCACGACAACGCGCAATGTAAACAGGAAGCCCATTAACCCAGCCATAGTCAAAAACAGAAAGTGTTTTTTTTTCCACTGTTAATCAGTCTAAAGTAGTATGGGATCCTAGAGCTAAGCCCAAGGGCAAATTAGGCAGACATTTAAATGTAAGAAGCATTTTGTCTAAATCTAAACAAATCCATCATCTGTTGATCAATACCAACTTGGACTACCTCTGCCTTTCTGAGACTTGGCTCCATAAAAATGCACCCTCTGCGGCACTGGACATTCCAGGCTATAATACGCTCAGGAGGGACAGAGAAGGTGCAAAGGGTGGTGGGTCATGATCTATATTAGAGATGACATCCAGTGCCAAGAAATGCAATGGCTGAACAACCATGAGTTGGAATGTTTTGGTTTAAATGTCATATTATCTTCACAAATGACATTTAACATTATAGTTTTATATCGTCCTCCATCGTCAGATTGCAGTTTCTATGACAAATTGGAAAATGTACTTAAAGGGCCCATATCACGAATTTTGACTTTTCTCTGCTTTAAACATGATTACAGTGCTATTTGGGCTTCATACACATGCCCAGAGTGTTTTTAACATTGATTCCCTCAAGCTCTAGTTAGAGAGCGATCTGTCTCCTTCAATCTCGAGAGGCACCAAAACGCTCGGGTCCACTTCTATGACGATTTACACATTGATGACGCGCATAAGGCCGCCTCCAGGAGGGGCCAGCAATGATTGGCAGAGGGGAGAATAAAAAACAAACACGCCCACAAACGTGCGTGGATCTGTACATGCAGCTACTCTACCGCAGTCTGTACTTCGCTTCACATCGATCTCTGTAGTTACTGCTGCTGTCGTTCACTAAAAGTGTCAGCATCATGTCAACTTGGAGAAAATGTTTGTTTGGGTGTAACTACGTGACGAGACTCTTTGGCTTGCCAAAAGATGAAGCGATTCGGCGAAAGTGGCTTGACTTCATTCACGGGTTTCTGCCTCCGAAACCGTCAAAGAATCTGTTCGTCTGCGAGCGACACTTCGCTAAAGACTGCTTCCAGAACTACGGTTACCATGAAACTGGACTCACTAAAAAGCTGATCTTGAAACATGGTGTAGTTCCCACAATAAAAGACGCTAACGGGGAGCCAAGATCGGTAAGTACAATGCAAACTCAACATACATGACTGCCAAGTAATAGTACTTGTAGTAATCATGTCCACTATGTCGCCAATATCATGCATAATACTAGAACAGTAGCTGATTGATTTATTACGAACAGATCGTAATAATGTGCAGTAGTGTTACTATAGAGAAGCTAGATACAGGTAACAATAATGGCGATAACACGTTCATTGTCCTGGACTGAGGCCCAGGCATTTTACTCATAGATTGTTTGTTGCTGTGACCCATGTAGATTACAAACCAGTAAAGCCCGGCCTTTTCAGTTGGAAATTAGCCAGAACTTGTACATATTACGCATCAAATTATGTTAATTTGTAGTGTTATCGTATAGCCATATTTATTTCATCTTGATCTTGAAGCATTTAGAATGCAAATGGGTTAGTGTTGTATAGTTTTCGCAATAAACAATCACAATAACACAAACGATTATGCTGTTGAGTCAAGAAAAACAATGACAGTAAGTTAGAGTAACGCTGCCCTAGATCATAGACTATACAACAAACCCCCCACGTTTGACATCAGTCGACACATTACTTGTATACGCTACTCATGTTTACGCCACACCAAGCTATTATATTTAGTTCAACCTTTACATATAATATGTGAACACTTAGTGATGAAAACACGTTTGTAGATTTATTGATAATAACTGATGTTCTTTATTCCATGATAGAGTACTTCTGAGGAGGCACCCAGCCACAGTCGTGCTGGAGCAACTGCTGGAAAACTGAGGACCAGAACTGTCTCCACACAGATATCTGCCAGAACCCTAAAGCTACAACATGTCAGAAGTAAAGGTAGGCTATTGCTTTTGCACATTGTGAATAAACACCACATACACCAAAGACATGGTACCATAATAACACGCACTAATGCTGACAGATGCACGTAATTACCAGCATTCAGTGTCTGTCTTTCCAGTTATATATATGAAAAGTTGCAACATAAGATGATAATAGTGTGAAGTTTATCTGAATGTTTTAAAAGTCCTGAATCCAAACTGGGGGTCTGTGTTGTTATATTATTATGTGTGGTACAATTCTGTTCTGTAGTAGTGTGAATGTTGCTAATTCTATGTATGCATTTCAATAGGTACTCTTGCAAAACCCAACACCAAAGATGCATCTACAGAGACAGATCAGTCTTGGATGGTGCTGTCCTCCACACCAATAAGATCATCTACCTCTGGGCTCGGTGTTGGGTCAAGGAAGAGACGTCGTACAGACATTTTTGAGGAAGACGAGGAGGATCCTGACATCTCAGATATTTCCCCACCACAACCACACGACTCTACTTATGAGCTTGGGGCCACTCTCACTGATGTTTCTGGAATGATGTAAGTATGTAGTATGTATACACTGTAGGTAGCAATCATCTACAATATCAATAATGTCTGTATTTGTCATATTTTGTCCAAAAACAGGGAAACAGAATGTCCCTCTGCTTATGAAGAACCGAAATACATAGTGTTTGACAGCAATTTGAAGTCCCTATTTGAAACATGCCCAGTTTGCACACGTAACTGTAAAATGCAGAGAAGCATTTTTGGGACATTTGTTTCATTTACACAAGATTGCCCACACTGCTTGTTTCATTGGAAGTGGGACAGTCAGCCGATACAGGGGAGCACACCAGTTGGCAATCTACAGCTTTCTGCAGCAGTGTATTTTTCCGGCGGATCCTTTGTAAAGCTGGAAAAGGTAACAACGGCACAACACAACATTGAGTTCATTTTGACCATTGTGTTTATCATACATCATGTGTTCTTCAGATATGTAAAGCTATGCACCTTCAGATCCATCAGTACAACTCATTTAGGAGACATTCACGGCAGTTTCTTGAACCAGCAATAAACCACAAGTGGAGGAAAGATCAAGAGAGGTTTTTGGTGGATCTGAAGAAGAAGGGCAAAATAGCTGTGGGAGGTGATATGAGAGCAGATTCACCAGGTAGGGAAGGTAATGTCAGCATATTATATCACATGGCATGTAACGTTTTTTCAATGTTTTTATTTAGGACACAGTGCTAAGTATGGCAGCTACACGCTGATGGAACTTGAGAGTGAGAAGGTGCTTGACATACAACTAGTACAGGTATGTCTAATATTAATGATGATCACACAATTTATTGTTTCATTACAAGTGACAGTGTGAATCAACGTTTGTGTTTCCTTAGAGCAATGAGGTAGGAGGAAGTTTTTATATGGAAAAAGAAGGACTGCGCCGGTGCTTAGATTTCCTGCAAGAGAATAGTCTTGAAGTGGACTATATTGTCACAGACCGTCACACACAAGTGAAAACCTTTCTACGGAGCCGAGATGTAACCCAGTACTATGATGTCTGGCATCTGGAGAAAGGTTTGGAATGAATCTTGTGTGAAAACAGAAACGTGTAGGTTTGTTATCTTATATGAATGCATATATGTGTTATATTGTAGATGTATCCAAAAAGTTGGATAAGTTGTCCAAAGAGAAAGAGTGCCAGGTGGTGGGAAAATGGACAGCAGCCATAAAAAATCACATATACTGGGTTGCATCATCTTCCAAGACAGGATCAGAGAAAGTGGCAAAATGGACATCCCTTGTAAATCATATTCAAAATGTACACGATCATGATGACCCTGTGTTTCCCAAATGTGCACATCCAGTGAAAGAGTCCAAAGATCCAAGCAAATGGTTTCTGCCAGGTTTGGAAAAGCATAATCGAACTCTGACGCCAGAGTTGTGTGTTTACCAATACATTGCTTATTCACTCAGGTTCTGCCCCATTGTACAAAATAGAAAAGCTACTTGTGAACAAGAGACTGCTGGAAGATGTAAAGAAACTCAGCTCTGAGCACCAGACATCGTCACTGGAGGCGTTTCATAGCGTTATTCTCCGCTTTGCCCCCAAAAATGTTGTGTACCCTTTTGTCGGAATGATGTGCAGGTAATATAACTGAATAGTTTTTGTAACAATTATGAGTATTACAAATCCTTTCTACATTGACACTCTTTTTTTGCAGGTTGTTTTTGGCAGGAATGCACTTCAATGAAAACGTGAAGCGTGAGCAAGCATCATCAAAAGGGCAGCCTTTATTCAAAGTTTCCTACCCTAAATACAAAAAAGGAAAGCCTACAGCAAAGCCTGTCAAAACAAAGCCGACATTTGGTAATCAAAAACACTGTACAAACATTTTACATTGTCAGTGTACATTTATATTTATATATATATCTCCAAATGAAAAAAAATATATAACTAGTCACACTTTTGCAGGATATGTCTCTGAGCTGATGCACCTCGTCTTCACTGAGGTCTTCTCCGAGCCAGCTCCTTTTATTGAACAGTTGAAGACTGTCCCTGTGCCTGCAGACCTCAGCTCTCAGTTTGAGAGAGTTCCCAAGGGAGATGTGGTTGCTGCACATGTTGCCAGGTTCAGTCGAGGGGCAGCCGAGGCTGACCAGAGGGTAGAAAGCCAACGTACTGGCCGTCAGGATCTGGGAACTCCTGGCGTATCCTGAGCACTGCACATGCAGGGATGACCACCCTGATTCTGGCTCCCAGCAGTCCCCAGCACCAGCTCACGATGCTTCTGTACGCCACAAATCTGAGACGCCTACCGAGAGTGCACATATGTAAATTAGTGAAATTTACTGTTCTATGTACTGTAATTTGCTGTCCTATTTATGTTGTGATGATTGTACTCCTGAACCCTGCCTCCTCCATCTGCACCTGTGGACTGTCCTCCCCAGCCGGACTCGTGAGCTGCACTCCCTCCCTGCCATGAAGCTGCCTCAGTCCTTGTTCTGCAGTCTGTCTGTCTTTCTTTAGCCTAAGTCCTAGATCTATTGCCCGGTGGGGAGTGGATCCCTCTCTCAATGTAGATCTCCCTGAAGTTTCTCACTTGCAGGACAGTCTGTTTGACAGTTTGTCTAACCAGAAGGACTGTGGTGATGATCTAGGACACTCAACATTGTAGGATATTTATGATCATCTGGCCCTTATGGATCAATGACTCTTTGTTTGTATCATTGCATTTCTGTTGTTAGAGCCGTTTTATTCTCTGCTGTGTTGAGAAATAGTGATGTAAAACTATACAGGTATAAATTCCATAGAATTCGGAAAAGTACATAATAAATTATTGCAAATAAAATATTTAAATGAAAGTGTACTTACTCTTCTTGTGTTCTCCTTCGAACTGGCCCATAGTCTGCACGATAAATATTATTTATGGTTTGCAGAACAAAAATATGTATATTCATTGCAAAGCCAGGGTGGTCTATAATGCAGGCAGGTGGATCAGGCAGCTGATTTATCCGTCTCAGAACCTACATATGAAAAGAAAAAGTGTGAGAAAGCCATGTCATGGAATAATGATTATTGTAGTGCATCAATTTATTTTAATATAGAATTGTTCCCCAATTACTATAAATGCGTACAGTAGGTGACACATCTTTGAGCTTGTTTAGACCGTTGTATTGTTACTGTTTACAAAATGCATCGTTGATATTCTACGCCTTTATGATTATTACAATTACCTGTGGAATTTCTTGACAGCATACATTTTCTCTTTCTGTAGGCATTGTCCTACAGTTCCCGCATGTGCACCTAAGAAAAAATCATATCAAAGCTTCTGCTGTAATAAAATGATTGATAGCGTTAGCTCATATTTTACCAAGCCGAGACGTCCTGGTGGTTCCTTCGGGGCTGTTGCACTTCATGTACCTCGAACTCTGGGTCCGACTCTGGATCGAGGACATATGGCTCTATGTGACGGATTGCCATCGTTGTAAAAAGTTTGTTATCGAGTCTGCAGGTGCGCTTTACCGGCGAACGCTCGTGTTTACAAACTCAGCGTGGCTCAGCCTACTTCAGCGAGTGGGCGTGATGGGGGACGGCTGTGGTCTGGGCTACGTCACCGTGCGGGAGGGGGGAGGCGGGCTCACAGGCAGAGGAGCAAAAATCAGCTCGTTTCATTTGAGGTGACGTAGCCTCCTTGTAAGAAATGGCTATAACTAGACAAGTGTTGAGTGATGTATGGTGTGTCAACAAAATTATGAACACACATGTACATAGGATGGACTGTGAAGCACAATTAGAAGCGCGATATAGGACCTTTAAAGAAGCAAACACAAATAAAGAGACTATTATTCTAGGGGACTTTAACATAAACTGGGAGGATGCATCTTGTAGAAAACATCTTAAAAGAATCTCTGAAAAGTTTGATCTTCTTCAAATGATACAAGGTTCCACAAGAATTACAGCTTCTAGCAGCAGCCAAATTGATTTAATTTTCACAAATCGACCCAATAGAATAATTAAATCCTATAACATGTTAACTGGTCTTTCCGACCATAATCTGATTTTGGTGGCCAGAAAGCTATCTAAAAAACGATTCAGTTCCTCTGGAAGAGTTGGTGAAGTCAACAGAATACCTAAGAATAAAGTAGAAGGCTTTAAAAATGCAGTGCAGCAGATTCACTGGAACCAGAAATTATTGGGAAATTGTGAAACTGACAGTAAAACCTTTCTAACAGTATTGGAGCAAACAATTCAAAAATATAGCTCAAAAATCAGCATCAGGCACAATAAAAATGTATTGCCATGGATGAACTCTGAAATTGTAAAATTAATGAAGGAAAGAGATCTTGCTTTAAAAAATGCTTTAAAAAGTAAGGTGGAAAAAGTTTTTTGCAACTCTCAGGAACAAGGTGGTTAAAAGCATTCGAAAAGCAAAAGCTGCTTTTTTCTTGAGTCTCATTTATAATGCAAAAGGAACCTCTAAAATGATCTGGAATCATGTAAAGAAACTTTTGGGACATGATGTAAAACGCATGAAACTCTTGGAAATTAAGATAAATAGGGAAATTACCAATAATCCAAAAAGTGTTGCAGATGCCTTCAATAATTTCTTTATGGAGTCAGTGTCCACTATTGCCCAGTCATTTCCTTCTGGTGGCATTACCATTTCTCTCCCGACATCGGAGCCAGCTTTTAGAAAAGGCCCAGGTTTCACAGACTATTCAATCCTTAAAACCATCCAAAACAAAAGATGTATTTGGTATAGTCCCATGTGCACTGAAAGAACTTGGCACGTCATTAATCACTCCAATAACTAAAATCCTAAATCAGTCTATCACAGAAGTAATCTATCCTCAGGTCTGGAAATCAGCTGCTGTCATTCCAGTCTTTAAAAATGGAAACCGCTTCTCAGTCTGCAATTACAGACCAATCAGCATCAGACCTACAGTGTCTGAGGTGGCGGAGAAACTTGTTGCACAACAAATAATCATCTGAACACCACTCCATTTACATTCCGTCCCATGCAATTTGGTTTCCGGGCCATTCCACAGAGACAGCTAATTGTTTTTTTATTGAAAACATAAAACAGCAATTGGACAAAGGTGGTTTGGTTGGGGCAGTTTTTCTTGATTTCAAAAAAGCTTTTGACAGTCAACCATCAAATACTCCTCTCAAAACTAAGCAAATTCAATTTCTCCTCAGAGGCAATAAAATGGATAGAATCCTATTTGACAAATCGCTTTCAGTCAGAATCAAGGACTACAACTCTCCTCCTCTTTCATTAAAAACAGGTGTTCCACAAGGTTCACATTTGGGTCCATTGTTATTTTCCCTCTATACAAAAGACCTTCCTTCTGTCTGTCCTAGTTGCGTCAGCGTTCAAGTGTATGCTGATGACACAGTTATTTATGCACATGGCAAACACCCGTCACAAGTGGCTGAAAAACTCACAGTCCTTGGTCCTTATTACAGATTGGTTAAATCAGTCATGCTTAAAACTCAACGTCAATAAAACACTCTCTATGTTTTTTTCCAAGTCCAATACCACAGATCTACGGTCAGATGTTTTTATTGCAGGTGAAAAATCGCAAATTGTTTCAGAATACAAATATCTGGGCATCACAATAGACTCAAATCTCACATTCAAAACACAAGTGAAAAAGGTCTGTAAGCAAGTCAAATTCAATCTATCAAATGTCCGGTTCATCAGCTCACAACTGTCTCTGCAAGCAGCAAAAAGGTTTATGCATTCCATGGTCCTATCTCACATCACTTACTGTTTAACAACTTGGTCACAGGCAAATAAAACATTAAAACCAATAGAATCATTAAACAAACGGACAATAAAAGCACTGGACAAAAACCCATACAACATCATCACTGCAATATTCTTCAAAAGCACAGGCTTTAAACTGGGACAATCTCATTAAGTATTCAAATCTCTGTTTAACATATAAAATAATCCACAATCAGTCATCTCCTCCACTCAGTCAGTTTGTCCACATAAGGAACACCGCTGTGTCTCAGAGGGGAACCAGAGGAGCAGCATGAGGGGAACCAGAGGGGAACCAGAGGGGAACCAGAGGGGCAGCACGAGGGGAACCAGAGGGGAACCAGAGGGGCAGCACGAGGGGAACCAGAGGGGAACCAGAGGGGCAGCACGAGGGGAACCAGAGGGTAACCAGAGGGGCAGCACGAGGGGAACCAGAGGGTAACCAGAGGGGCAGCACGAGGGGAACCATAGGGGCAGCACGAGGGGAACCAGAGGGGCAGCACGAGGGGAACCAGAGGGTAACCAGAGGGGCAGCACGAGGGGAACCAGAGGGTAACCAGAGGGGCAGCGCGAGGGGAACCAGAGGGGAACCAGAGGAGCAGCACGAGGGGAACCAGAGGGGCAGCACGAGGGGAACCAGAGGGTAACCAGAGGGGCAGCACGAGGGGAACCATAGGGGCAGCACGAGGGGAACCAGAGGGGCAGCACGAGGGGAACCAGAGGGTAACCAGAGGGGCAGCACGAGGGGAACCAGAGGGTAACCAGAGGGGCAGCGCGAGGGGAACCAGAGGGGAACCAGAGGGGCAGCGCGAGGGGAACCAGAGGGGAACCAGAGGGGCAGCACGAGGGGAACCAGAGGGGCAGCACGAGGGGACTGCCTGGTTCCTCTGGGACGGAGCGCCTTCAGTCAGAGCCTTCTCTGTGACCGCTGCCAGAGACTGGAACTCCATCCCAGCAAACATCAGAGATATCACACCATACTCACTATTTAAATTACATCTGAAAAACGTGTTAATAACACAGCAGACATGTAATCATTAGTCCAGGCAATTTACTAATTGCTTTGTAAATATCTTTTGTATGTGAAGTTGAACTGTGTTTTATTGTATGATATATGTGTTCTTGTTCTCCCCGACTGCATGTGTTTTCTGTATTTTATTATTGTTTGACTTTTATCTGTGGGAGACTATGTACACCTGTCCAGGGACTGCAGATGAAAAATAGCCTGCTTGGCTAATTCTGGTGCATTTACAGTAATGTTTTATTAATGCACAATGTCCCTGTCAACTAAACTAATAAAATAAATAAATAAACAGTAAACATTAGTGTTATCAAAATGATCCTTTATATAGTACTATCCTTGTGGAAACTTTATTACAAACCAAATAGAATGTTAATAATACACAGATTTATATTTGCACTATCCATTTGGGGACTTCATACACTCACATGTTTCTGGACATGACCTTATATGGTGTACAGAGTGCACACTGGATTGATCCACAGGTTTAGAGAAATCTAGGGTGTGGACAGAGGTTAGTCCATAGATCTAGTGTTAAGGTTTGGGACTGGGACTAGTTCACAGGTCTAGAGTCCAGGGTGTAGACTCCCAGTCTGATCTTCTGGTCTCCTCATCGGGTGTAAGAAACTGACTGAGGGACCATGAGTTAATAGCAATGTACAGACAAGTAAAAGTGGAACTGGACACAGATGTCAGAAAAAAAATGGGAAAGAAGAGAACAGCTCTATTCATCCTGCAGCCTGTGGATGTGTGACGAGTGAATAAAACTGTTGTCGATGTGCACAAATACACAGTGAACTAGAAACAGTGATTATTGTAATTTAAAGTAAGTGATCATAGTGGTCCTTTTTACAGTAGCATCCTTATGGGGCCCTTATTATACACTAAATATAATGTTATAAATAAACAGATTTGTATTGTACTATCCATGTGGACTTCACGTTTTCCAGGACATGTAGATCAGCAGTAGCAGCACTTGACCACTAGGGTAAACACACCTCTCAGCCTGACACAGGAAATGACAGGTGTGAGCGTAGAGCTGAGGACAGCAGACTGTAAGAGAGCAGCACACACTGAGAGGATCTGAGCTTTAAGATGGAGTGTGTCCTGTGTCCACTGCTCTCAGCTCTGCTTGTGCTGCTGAGTTCTTCTCCAGAGTGTAACGGACAAGACACAGTGAAGCAGGCAGCAGGAGAGGACCGAGTGACAGAGGGACACACTCACACACTCATCTGCAACTTTACAACCACAGGCTACAGCAACTTGTTCTGGTACAGACAGAAAGATGGTGATTCTTGTTGTATATTTTAATATTTGACCATTTGAACATCATAGCCAAAAAGACCTCTGTGCACTCAGGAAAAACCCCAAGGACACAGGATAATCAGACATGAGTCATAAAGATAAAATGCTGTTTAAACAGGGCGAATTATTAACTTTAAATAATAAACATTTTGACGAGGGCAAAAGTTCAGAACCTGATCTTGAGGCAGACTGGGAAATTCACCAACGGCATTCTGACGCCTCCCAGTGGACAAGGGACGTCAGCACACCCGGAAAACTCCACCCTTGGACGCATATGGATGACGTCATCGGAAGTCTCCCGTATATGTGCCCTCTGAGGGGTTTTGAGGTCAGACAGGACAGGGGCAACGCACAGGGAGAGAGCAGGCATAGAATAGGAGCACTTTTTGTTGAATATTCTGTATCTGATTGTAAAGATAATTAAATGCAGATGTTAAACTTGGAGAATCTTTAGTCTGATTTCTGTACCAAATTGTGGACACGTCAGCCAAAGGGAATTATTGGCTTCATTTGGTGACCCGAGACGTGATTTGATACAGAAAGAAGACGCAAGATGAGCTCAGATATAGACTGGGTCCGTCGGCCGGGAGAAATTCTCTCTTCTCTTCTCTCTTCTCTTCGAAAGAGGTAAGCGGATTGTTACTTTTGAAAATCTGCACATTGTTTTAAATGGAAGAGAGAGAGAGAATTCGGCTCGGCGGACTGCAGCGTGGCCAGACGACCGCCGTGACGGGCGTTCTATCGGACGCGATAGAACAATAGTCAGGTTTTTCGACGTTTTTGAACCTTGAGGGAAGCATTGGTCCCCTCAAAAAAAAAAAGAATATACAGGAAAGCCACAGGGTTTATAAGTGCAAAAGAGGCACACCGTTTAGAGTGCAAAAGAGGCACACCGTTTTAAAGTGCAAAAGAGGCACAAGTGTTTAGAGAAATAGGATTAGAAAATAGGGACAGTTAGGGTCAGAAGTTATAGGATAATGAAAACTCCATATCCCCCGGGGGGGCGGGAAAAAGGGTACATTTAAACAGAAAAAAGCCAAGTATTTAAAATGTGGATTCTGATAATAATGATCTGATTAATGAGAAAAGAAGGAGCCACTTGGCTGTAGTATACGAGTTTCCATGTGAAGAAATGACAAAAGATCAGTCTGGGAGTTTTTCTCTTGTATTGTGATGTAATGTTTCGATAGTTACAGAGAATCAGAAAAAAAAAAAAAGATTCTGCTGGAACCCTCGATACATTAATCAGGTAGCAAATGATAATGTTTTCCATTACTGACGTATTTAAGGATAAAATGTAAAGTGTCGTTTGACGTGAGAAAAACTTTTACCACTGATTAAAACCTTATCACGATAAAAACGAGGAAAATGTAGCAAAAGGGGGTGTATTTCAATCATCCATGTGTTCCTTTGTTCGAGAAGCCACTCAGCCCCTCCCCTCCCTCTTTCTGTCTCTCTCTCTCTCTCGTGAAGACAGAACTATTACCAAAGACATTTTTTTTGTAGAAAATTACATTTATACACACAATAATGTTACTGACATGGAGTCATAGGATCACAGAACTCTGAGTTAGATTATAGAGAGGCATTATTTTATTATTTTATTTTTATCTCCAAGGCGTCTGGACAAGTTTTTTCCTACATTTTGGTGATATAAAAGCTAGAATGATCTTAGAGAGCATTATACTTTTGGAAAAATAGGGCTTAGGATAGCAGTTGAATGCAGATTTGGTTTTCAGAATCTAATGTTTAAAATGTTAATATTAATTATTTCATAGGTTTATCTTGAATTGTAATTAATCATTGGTTTTGTATGGTAATTAACACACTTGTTTGTGCTTCTTGTTTGTCTGTTTTTTCCGAGAGAACTTCTGTCTGTTTCATTTGTGCCAAAATCGTCTGCCACATGTCCTCAATCGGGCGCCATCAACACGGACCATCAGCGTCTCCCCCTCTCCCTGCGGGTCGCAGGGGGCAGCATCGGCTGCAGCAGCTAACAGGAACTCTCGAAGAAGACTCCTCCTGCCTGTGAGGAGGCAAAGAAAAGACCGCAGACTTTTTCACAAAATGAGTGTTGTCCCATCTACGGAACAGAAGGTGGCGGTAATGCGAAGAATAGGCCGCCAACCGCCGGAAAACCAAACAAGAAGAAGAAGGACACACACTGGTGTGCGTCAAAAAAAATGAGACAAAGAAAGACATGAGAAAAGTTGTCGAAAGAGGAAGAAAGTGATTGAAAGAAGAAGAAAGAAAGTGATTGAAAGAAGAAGAAAGAAAGTGATTGTTTAAAGAGGAAGAAAAAAGGCATTGAGGCAAAGACATTGGACACTTTGAGACAATTGAAAGACGCCATGAGTAAAAGAAAGAGACATTAACGGACGTTTGAGGAAGACGTGGCCGGGCAAATGAGACACACAGAAGGTAAATATACAGACAGGCAAAAACGCACAGAGACATATTAAGTCATATTTACACATTTAGGTCATTCGTTCATAACACCACATTTAGCTGCATGAAAGAATACAGGACAATCGTTAGAATTAATTAGACTCTTGCTTTAGCATTGAGACACAAGGAGATTAGAACAGCAGTATATTTGTGCATGATTTAGAGGAGCTTTATTATTGAAACTATTATTGTTATTTAAAGTTATAGACGCGGAGAAGTTTAGAATTATTGATCTTGACTGCATGATCTTGGTAATACGGATATTTAAAGCAGTGTTTTCAACCTCTGAACCGTGGCTCGTTTCTCATTTAAAAACAATCACATGCACAGTTGAAACTGGTGCTAGAAAGAGAACTGCAGCTTTTAATGGACGCTGCATTTAGTACAAAATGGTTTGTTCAGACAATTAAAGTTTGAAAAATGATTTAAAGCATTTCTAAATTTTGGCTAAAGGTGATATTGGATCATTTCTGATAACACATAGACGCAACACTGTTCATTGGTTGAAAACACGGATGTAGGGATATTTTAGGAAATCTTTTATGACATGTTTCTCTTCCAAATAGCTAAATTAGAAACAATTAGGACAGTCATGTCTTTAATATAACTGTTGGAAGTTTATTTGAGACATGATTGGTGCAAGTACAACAACACATAAAACAATGGTCTTTTCTCCACATGAACGTGAAACAAAGGTGAAGTATTAAAGTTTGAAACTAATTTACATTTTTAAGGAATCCAAACTGGCTTTTAAAAAAAAAAAAAGGGAAAAACATTTATTGCACGTGCACGAGTTTTTTTTAAGTAACAAGAGCTCATTAAAGATATAGGGGACACAGTCTGTGAGAAGCCCGAGTACAGACCACGTGGTAAACACTAAAGTTGGAAATGGATCCTTTTAAGAAAAAATCTCTCAAAGCTCTGCATGTTCTGCAGGCTCTGAAAGTTGCAACAATAGAAATAACTCATAAGACAATTGTAATTGGACATGGAAAAATATAACAAAGTTAAAATTACAGGCCTCCTGTGTTGTCTATATGTTTGTGTGTGTTATATGTTTGTGCGTCATGTCAAATACACTACGCTGACCTTAACAAACTCTGGACCAAAATACTAACGTGGGGAGTCGGCCTGTGTTGTGAGTGTGTTGTGAGTGTGATGTGAGTGTGTTGTGAAATGAGGAGTGAAATGAGGAGTGCTGAACGGAATCATGGAATAACAAATGTTTTCTGTAATGTTTTAATGTGATCATGGAATAATTATTTTTTGTCAACAGCATACGGTGTAAGTACTAGAGATTCAAAGATAACAAGCTTTATTGAACAGGTGTAAAAGTGAGAGTACTCTGGGATGAGTACTCTGAGAAAGTACTCTGAGAAAGTACTCTGAGATGAAATACCTTGCTGAAGGTACTGGGAGTCCCTCCCTCTGCTGTTTGTCCTGACAGTGATTCGGTCCAACCGCAGTGAGCGGTCGTTGGTTGAAGGACAACTTTGGTTTGTAATTCACATTTAGTGGAGTATAAAATAAGAAACATACATATTGTTAAGTAAGTAAGTAAGTAAGTAAGTTTTTATTTATATACCGCCTTTTCACTGCAGATCTGAGTCTCAAAGCGGTTTACAATTGTTTTGGGCATTTGTCTGTCACTCCACACAGAGATGGGAGCGGGGCCAGTACAGGAGGCACATGCCAGAACTATTGGACATATTTTTAGTGGTAGGGGAAACCGGAGTACCCGGAGGAAACCTACGCAGACACGGGGAGAACATGCAAACTCCACTCAGAAAGGCCCTGGTCCGACCGGGATTCGAACCCAGGACCTTCTTGCTGAGAGGCGAGAGTGCTATCCACTCAGCCACCGTGCCGCCCAGTCTGGGCGGCACGGTGTCTGTAAGTCTGTATTTGGCTACAGCCTCTGCCCTGATGCCACACACCGTCTGTCAATGTAGTTATGTTTTGCCCAATTGGAAAAAGATTGACAGGCTGCACCATGCGAAGAGAGGGAAGTGGGCATTTCTTGTGTTCTAATGTTTGTTTTTCAGATGAAAGATAAACTGCACCTGCTTCAGGGATGACAGTAGTATGGATCATAAGGAAATGAGCCTCTACTATGGCACCAAAGCCCACAATATGAATTGAGGACGATCCGGGAGGAACAACTGGAGATGAACGGAACAGTAATCTACACACACACAGATGCATGTTTTATACTTTGGCCCATGACCAACAGAGGGAGTATGGTAATGTTATTGTCATAGGTGGTCATGGTCCTTAACCTTCTAAATCATTAGAAAGAAGTGTAAAACATATATTTACAAGAACAAATAAATAATAGAAAGGGCAGCCTAAAAAAGCAAAATGGGAAAATTATTAAGTAATTTTCGGAGTTGCCAAAATGGAATAAAATTCTATATTTGTCCCATAGGGGGTCATTCTAAATTTATTGTTGTGCAAATTCAAAAGGAGAAATAATAGCGCTGATAACATCAAACAGATCTACTCTTTAAGATAATAGATCATATAATAATAATAATAGAATAGAATGAAATAGTCTGGAGCTATAATGTCATTGGATTCAAGGAGCTATAGGTTGAAAGGTCGCTAGGAAGAGGTGTCAGAATAAACAATAGTAATAATAGTTAGACTAGTGAATAGTAAGTAAGTAAGTTAGTAAGTAAGTTTTTATTTATATACCGCCTTTTCACTGCAGATCTGAGTCTCAAAGCGGTTTACAATTGTTAATTTTGGGCATTTGTCTCTCACTCCACACAGAGATGGGAGCGGGGTCGCCAGTACAGGAGGCACATGCCAGAACTATTGGACATATTTTTAGTGGTAGGGGAAACCGGAGTACCCGGAGGAAACCTACGCAGACACGGGGAGAACATGCAAACTCCACTCAGAAAGGCCCTGGTCCGACCGGGATTCGAACCCAGGACCTTCTTGCTGAGAGGCGAGAGTGCTATCCACTCAGCCACCGTGCCGAATAATCATCCATCCATCCATCCATTTTCTTCCCCTTAATCCCATTTCTGGGTCGGGGGGGGGGGGGGGTGGCAGTCAGAGCTGCACCCAGTCCACAGAGCACCAGCCCCTCACTGATCCTCCTGCAGGTGGTGAGTCCACCGGAGGGAATGATTAAAATAGTTCTATTGTGGAAATAAGTATCAATAAGGTCAAATTGTTCTATAACTAAAGTAAAAAGGAATCAAATGGAGTCAGATTTTAGATGTTTCTGTTTTCCACATCTGTAGGAACTGGTGCAGATGTGTTTATAGAGAGTAGTATTAAAATGCAGACATAGAACGACAGGCTTTAACACAATTTTAAATCTAAAAATAGCTCAAATATAACACTGCTCTTGACGCAGCCTCTGAGCTGCTCCATTGGAGAACAGGTTAAATGTTATTGTTTATTACAAACAGCTGATGTATTCACACATATTAAAGTTTGGGACAACTCTTTAAACAGTTATAAGCAGCGGACAGAAGCCATGAATGTGCTTTTGTTTATTAAATAATTAAATGCATAGCCTTATAATCGTAGAGAACGTTTTAAAATAGTTAAAATCCCTTTCAGGCAACTTGATTTAGATGTATGTCTTTAATATTGGAGAACGACTGTGTTGTTTTTGGAATTGTCTGAAATACAATACATAAAATAGTGATTTGCAGAACAAGAACCAGCCAATGAAAAATCGTCTATTGCCAATGCAATTGTTACAATCAGAACTCACAAATTGGGAATATGCTTTGGCTCAAGCTACAACCAAGATTTGGAGTCACAATAGAGTATAAAATAGATAGATGCTTTCAAAAATAGAGATTATTTTTAGCCAAGGCTAATATCAAACGGTAAAAGGACCATTTCCTTCATATTATGTCCAAAAGTATTTACTTCAAAAGTAGATAAAGTTCATTACAGTTCATGCACAGTTTTATTAGATACTGTCAAATTCACTTGTTTCAAACATAGGTGAATGTTAACAATGCCAAAAGTTAATGAGATAGATTAATGAGATCGATTAGAACCAACACAGATTCAAAAACATTTGAAAGCATTTTAATGTATTTGGGTATGGCACAAAAGTAGATCTTTAGGTATTTTTGAGAATTTTAAGAGCTGTCGATTTGTCAGCAACAGATTAGAGAATCAAAATACCGTTGTATAGGGACTAACCCCAGAGAAACCTGCTAAAATAGATTAGCTCCTGTAAGGATAATACCAATTTGATTAACGATGTACATTTATCCCAAACGGTCTGAGAGAAGGAAGTGACAGCACTTCCTGGTTCAACAAAATGTATTTGGAAAAATGAGCAAAGCCCCACGAAATGGCCCAAAGCCACTGATAATGAAAGCAAACCACAGTATAGATAGATTTATTAGATAAAAACATATGTTTAAGAATAGGGCTCAATAAAAGCAAAATATGCAAACATATTTGTAAATAGATTAGAATAGTTTAAACTATAGTGAATAGTTTTAGTGCATACATTACAGACGAGGTTGAAGAAGAATCAGAATGACAGCAGTGGTCATCAAAGAGTTTAGTGAAGGAATGTTTCGAATGTGGTTGTGTGTGTTGTTTGTCTTTCTGTATTAATTCTTCACAGATAGCGAGCCAGAACCAAGAACCAAGGCGATGATGGAAGAGCTCCCCAGTCCCGTCACCCAGAAGGGATATTGAAAGATTGTGACCTAAATTGGTTTAATATAGGTCAACAGAGGGGAACTGTTGTATATTTTAATATTTGACCATTTTGAACGATGGTCCTAATTTTCATCATAGCCAAACAAGACCTGTTCTCTCAGACAGTTTAAGTCTCAAGGACACAGGATAATCAGACATGAGTCATAAAGATAAAATGCTGTTTAAACAGGGCGAATTATTAACTTTAAATAATAAACATTTTGACGAGGGCAAAAGTTCAGAACCTGATCTTGAGGCAGACTGGGAGATTCACCAACGGCATTCTGACGCCTCCCAGTGGACAAGGGACGTCAGCACACCCGGAAACCTCCACCCTTGGACGCATATGGATGACGTCATCGGAAGTCTCCCGTATATGTGCCCTCTGAGGGTTTTTGAGGTCAGACAGGACAGGGGCAACGCACAGGGACAGAGCAGGCATAGAATAGGAGCACTTTTTGTTGAACATTCTGTATCTGATTGTAAAGATAATTAAATGCAGATGTTAAACTTGGAGAATCTTTAGTCTGATTTCTGTACCAAATTGTGGACACGTCAGCCAAAGGGAATTATTGGCTACAGTCTACAGCCTCAGTCCTGGGTCTACAGCCTCAGTCCTGGGTCTACAGCCTCAGTCCTGGGTATACAGCCTCAGTCCTGGGTCTACAGCCTCAGTCCTGGGTCTACAGCCTCAGTCCTGGGTATACAGCCTCAGTCCTGGGTATACAGCCTCAGTCCTGGGTCTACAGCCTCAGTCCTGGGTCTACAGCCTCAGTCCTGGGTCTACAGCCTCAGTCCTGTAAAGACTGCTGTTATGATTGCTATTATTTTTGGCTGTACACAAACTATTTGAATGAAATATTTCAGTTATAACTTTCCAAAACAATGACTTTGTGTTGCTCATGTATTGTGGGAGCTCTCTCGAGTGGATAAAAGCCAGAGAGCCGGAGGTCCAGGCCATGAAGGAGACCAAAGAGTTGGAGAAAGAGTTGAGTGAAGTCCTGAAGAAGACCAGGAGTGGACTGAAGCAAGTGAGGCACCATGTGCAGAAGATGGAGAACCTCAGCGTCACCTCTGTCCACGTGTTCCAGGCCTCCGGACCCTGAGGTGGATCTCAGCGTCACCTCTGTCCACGTGTTCCAGGCCTCTGGACCCTGAGGTGGATCTCAGCGTCACCTCTGTCCACGTGTTCCAGGCCTCTGGACCCTGAGGTGGATCTGGAGACCGTCTGCTCATCAGCATCGCCCAAATCCTCGCTCCTTTACTGCTTCCAACCCGTCCTTCTCAACAGATCCATCTACCAGGCCCAGCTGCAGAAGTACACTGCCGCCACCATGTGCCTTGTTGATGGATGGAAAAGCAACAATGTTCTCGCCAAGTTCGACCATTCCAAACAACCGAGAGTCCGATTACCAGATCTGCCGGCGGACCGCGTCGGGAACGTGCTCGCCCATATCCGCGCTCTTCCCGCTCTCAGAAGCAACCAGGCGTTCAAGATGTCGGTGCTTTTCAAAAACCAATCCCAGTCCTTCGTCACCGCAGGCCGTGAGTCCAGACCGCAGCTGGAGCAGTGGCTGCAGGAGTTGGAGGGTTGTGCGGAGAAGCTGGACAGTATGAACAAAGGAGCCAGGATCCTGGAGCTGTTGCGAGCGGCGAGGGCATTGTCGGAGAGGGTTTGTGCATCTATGGCTTGATTTGTATTTGTCTATTTGTACCTCCCACCATGGGTCTGTCCTTGATTCTCGATATGGTTGGACTCTCTTTGGGATTAATCAGCGGCATCCAGACCGCTGTGACCGCAGGCGTAGAGTAAGAGGTCAACCGCACGCAGGAACTTAAGGCAAAAGAGGATTTGGAACGAGGCGTTCAACTCATCAACAAGCTGTAGATCTGTTAACGACGTCATCCTCGACCACATGGAAGCACTGAGCAGAGGGAGCTTCATTTATGAAAACATCGCCAAGAAGAAGTTGTCGCCTGAAGAGCTGCTTTACGTATCTGAGGGAGAAGAGGCGTTAGCGAGAGCGGAGCTGCGAGGTTTGCGAAGGGCCAAGATGGCGAGAGTGGGGTCCAGCGTGCTCAATGGGTTACTGGTATTGGCGAATGGTTTTTTTCTTTACCAAGACACTTATGCTCTGGCACAGGGAACAGAGACCGAGCTGTCGCACTGGATACGAGCCTGGTCTGCTCTGTGGCGCGTCGAGATCGAAGCGTTTCAGAAACGTCACAATTCTCAGTGTGAAGCTCAGAAGGATTATGAGGCCAATCAGGAGTCTCTGGTCTCTCTCTCTCCAGTCTCTCACTGGTCTCTCTCTCCAGTCTCTCACTGGTCTCTCTCTCCAGTCTCTCACTGGTCTCTCTCTCCAGTCTCTCACTGGTCTCTCTCTCCAGTCTCTCGCTGGTCTCTCTAGTCTCTCTCTCTCTCCAGTCTCTCGCTGGTCTCTCTCTCCAGTCTCTCTCTCTCTAGTCTCTCTCTCTCTCCAGTCTCTCGCTGGTCTCTCTCTCTAGTCTCTCTCTGGTCTCTCTCTCTCTCCAGTCTCTTGCTGGTCTCTCTCTCCAGTCTCTCTCTCTAGTCTCTCGCTGGTCTCTCTCTCTCTCCAGTCTCTTGCTGGTCTCTCTCTCTAGTCTCTCGCTGGTCTCACTCTCCAGTCTCTCGCTGGTCTCGCTCCCCAGTCTCTCGCTGGTCTCTCTCTCCAGTCTCTCGCTGGTCTCGCTCTCCAGTCTCTCGCTGGTCTCTCTCTCCAGTCTCTCGCTGGTCTTTCTCTCCAGTCTCTCTCTCTAGTCTCTCGCTGGTCTCTCTCTCCAGTCTCTCGCTGGTCTCTCTCTCCAGTCTCTTGCTGGTCTCTCTCTCTAGTCTCTCACTGGTCTCTCTCCCCAGTCTCTCGCTGGTCTCTCTCTCTAGTCTCTCGCTGGTCTTTCTCTTCAGTCTCTCGCTGGTCTCTCTCTCCAGACTCTCTCTGGTCTCTCTCTCTCCAGTCTCTCGCTGGGCTCTCTCTCCAGTCTCTCGCTGGTCTCTCTCTCTAGTCTCTCGCTGGTCTTTCTCTTCAGTCTCTCGCTGGTCTTTCTCTCCAGTCTCTCTCTGGTCTTTCTCTCCAGTCTCTCTCTCTCTCCAGACTCTCTCGGGTCTCTCTCTCTCTCCAGTCTCTCGCTGGTCTCTCTCTCTCTCCAGACTCTCTCTGGTCTCTCTCTCTCCAGTCTCTCGCTGGTCTCTCTCTCCAGTCTCTCGCTGGTCTCTCTCTCTAGTCTCTCGCTGGTCTTTCTCTTCAGTCTCTCGCTGGTCTTTCTCTCCAGTCTCTCTCTCTCTCCAGACTCTCTCTGGTCTCTCTCTCTCTCCAGTCTCTCGCTGGTCTCTCTCTCTAGTCTCTCGCTGGTCTTTCTCTCTAGTCTCTTGCTGGTCTTTCTCTCTAGTCTCTTGCTGGTCTCTCTCTCTAGTCTCTCGCTGGTCTCTCTCTCTCTCCAGTCTCTCGCTGGTCTCTCTCTCCAGTCTCTCACTGGTCTTTCTCTCCAGTCTCTCGCTGGTCTCTCTCTCTAGTCTCTCGCTGGTCTTTCTCTCCAGTCTCTCTCTGGTCTTTCTCTCCAGTCTCTCTCTGGTCTCTCTCTCTCTCCAGACTCTCTCTGGTCTCTCTCTCCAGTCTCTCGCTGGTCTCTCTCTCCAGTCTCTCACTGGTCTCTCTCTCCAGTCTCTCACTGGTCTTTCTCTCCAGTCTCTCTCTGGTCTTTCTCTCCAGTCTCTCTCTGGTCTCTCTCTGGTCTCTCTCTCTCTCCAGTCTCTCGCTGGTCTCTCTCTCTCTCTCCAGTCTCTCGCTGGTCTCTCTCTCTCTCCAGTCTCTCACTGGTCTTTCTCTCCAGTCTCTCGCTGGTCTTTCTCTCTAGTCTCTTGCTGGTCTCTCTCTCTAGTCTCTCACTCGTCTCTCTCCCCAGTCTCTCGCTAGTCTCTCTCTCTAGTCTCTCGCTGGTCTTTCTCTTCAGTCTCTCGCTGGTCTTTCTCTCTAGTCTCTTTCTGGTCTCGCTCTCTAGTCTCTCACTGGTCTCTCTCTCCAGTCTCTTGCTGGTCTTTCTCTCCAGTCTCTCGCTGGTCTTTCTCTCCAGTCTCTTGCTGGTCTTTCTCTCCAGTCTCTCTCTCTCTCCAGACTCTCTCTGGTCTCTCTCTCTCTCCAGTCTCTCGCTGGTCTCTCTCTCTAGTCTCTCGCTGGTCTTTCTCTCTAGTCTCTTGCTGGTCTTTCTCTCTAGTCTCTTGCTGGTCTCTCTCTCTAGTCTCTCGCTGGTCTCTCTCTCTCTCCAGTCTCTCGCTGGTCTCTCTCTCCAGTCTCTCACTGGTCTTTCTCTCCAGTCTCTCGCTGGTCTCTCTCTCTAGTCTCTCGCTGGTCTTTCTCTCCAGTCTCTCTCTGGTCTTTCTCTCCAGTCTCTCTCTGGTCTCTCTCTCTCTCCAGACTCTCTCTGGTCTCTCTCTCCAGTCTCTCGCTGGTCTCTCTCTCCAGTCTCTCGCTGGTCTCTCTCTCTCTCCAGTCTCTCGCTGGTCTCTCTCTCTCTCCAGTCTCTCGCTGGTCTCTCTCTCCAGTCTCTCACTGGTCTTTCTCTCCAGTCTCTCACTGGTCTCTCTCTCCAGTCTCTCACTGGTCTTTCTCTCCAGTCTCTCTCTGGTCTTTCTCTCCAGTCTCTCTCTGGTCTCTCTCTGGTCTCTCTCTCTCTCCAGTCTCTCGCTGGTCTCTCTCTCTCTCTCCAGTCTCTCGCTGGTCTCTCTCTCTCTCCAGTCTCTCGCTGGTCTTTCTCTCCAGTCTCTCGCTGGTCTTTCTCTCTAGTCTCTTGCTGGTCTCTCTCTCTAGTCTCTCACTCGTCTCTCTCCCCAGTCTCTCGCTAGTCTCTCTCTCTAGTCTCTCGCTGGTCTTTCTCTTCAGTCTCTCGCTGGTCTTTCTCTCTAGTCTCTTTCTGGTCTCGCTCTCTAGTCTCTCACTGGTCTCTCTCTCCAGTCTCTTGCTGGTCTTTCTCTCCAGTCTCTCGCTGGTCTTTCTCTCCAGTCTCTTGCTGGTCTTTCTCTCTAGTCTCTTGCTGGTCTCTCTCTCTAGTCTCTCTCTGGTCTCTCCCTCTCTCCAGTCTCTCGCTGGTCTCTCTCTCTCTCCAGTCTCTCGCTGGTCTCTCTCTCCAGTCTCTCACTGGTCTTTCTCTCCAGTCTCTCGCTGGTCTCTCTCTCTAGTCTCTCGCTGGTCTTTCTCTCCAGTCTCTCTCTGGTCTTTCTCTCCAGTCTCTCTCTGGTCTCTCTCTCTCTCCAGACTCTCTCTGGTCTCTCTCTCTCTCCAGTCTCTCGCTGGTCTCTCTCTCCAGTCTCTCGCTGGTCTCTCTCTCCAGTCTCTCACTGGTCTCTCTCTCCAGTCTCTCACTGGTCTTTCTCTCCAGTCTCTCTCTGGTCTTTCTCTCCAGTCTCTCTCTGGTCTCTCTCTGGTCTCTCTCTCTCTCCAGACTCTCTCTGGTCTCTCTCTCTCTCCAGACTCTCTCTGGTCTCTCTCTCTCTCCAGTCTCTCGCTGGTCTCTCTCTCCAGTCTCTCGCTGGTCTCTCTCTCTAGTCTCTCGCTGGTCTTTCTCTTCAGTCTCTCGCTGGTCTTTCTCTCTAGTCTCTTGCTGGTCTCTCTCTCTCCAGTCTCTTGTTGGTCTCTCTCTCCAGTCTCTCGCTGGTCTCTCTCTCTAGTCTCTTGCTGGTCTCTCTCTCTAGTCTCTTGCTGGTCTTTCTCTCCAGTCTCTTGCTGGTCTCTCTCTCCAGTCTCTCGCTGGTCTCTCTCTCTCTCTAGTCTCTCGCTGGTCTTTCTCTCTAGTCTCTTGCTGGTCTTTCTCTCTAGTCTCTTGCTGGTCTTTCTCTCTAGTCTCTTGCTGGTCTCTCTCTCTAGTCTCTCGCTGGTCTCTCTCTCTCTCCAGTCTCTCGCTGGTCTCTCTCTCCAGTCTCTCGCTGGTCTCTCTCTCTAGTCTCTCGCTGGTCTTTCTCTCCAGTCTCTCTCTGGTCTTTCTCTCCAGTCTCTCTCTGGTCTCTCTCTCTCTCCAGACTCTCTCTGGTCTCTCTCTCCAGTCTCTCGCTGGTCTCTCTCTCCAGTCTCTCACTGGTCTCTCTCTCCAGTCTCTCACTGGTCTTTCTCTCCAGTCTCTCTCTGGTCTTTCTCTCCAGTCTCTCTCTGGTCTCTCTCTGGTCTCTCTCTCTCTCCAGACTCTCTCTGGTCTCTCTCTCTCTCCAGACTCTCTCTGGTCTCTCTCTCTCTCCAGTCTCTCGCTGGTCTCTCTCTCCAGTCTCTCGCTGGTCTCTCTAGTCTCTCGCTGGTCTTTCTCTTCAGTCTCTCGCTGGTCTTTCTCTCTAGTCTCTTGCTGGTCTCTCTCTCTCCAGTCTCTTGTTGGTCTCTCTCTCCAGTCTCTCGCTGGTCTCTCTCTCTAGTCTCTTGCTGGTCTCTCTCTCTAGTCTCTTGCTGGTCTTTCTCTCTAGTCTCTTGCTGGTCTTTCTCTCTAGTCTCTTGCTGGTCTTTCTCTCCAGTCTCTCGCTGGTCTCTCTCTCTAGTCTCTCGCTGGTCTTTCTCTCTAGTCTCTTGCTGGTCTCTCTCTCTAGTCTCTTGCTGGTCTTTCTCTCTAGTCTCTCTAAAGATCCCCTGCCTGCTACGCTTCAGAGGCCTGACAGAACATTAGCAGCACATGACCAGAATAAATAATCTCAGCAGAAGTTTTCTTACATTCTTTGGAAAATAGAATCCACCGATGACGACGTCTTTCTGTGCGAAGATCCTGGCGTTCAGAGGAACGACGGGAAACATCCTGAAACAGAAGGAACGTTGATGGTTCTGAGTCTGGAGAGAGACACGAGCACGAGTGAGAACACCCTCATGAAGCTCTCTCCTCATTGGTCCCACTATGATCCTCGCTCCTACTGTTCTCCAACTCATGATGCAACACTGACATTTCAGAGAAGGATGATCCCCATGGGCACTGGTCACTGGTCTGAACCACAAGATTCTGGAAATGGTAGGGCATCCGGGTCACTCACCGTAGCGTCTCCTTGATGGTAGGGCATCCGGGTCACTCACCGTAGCGTCTCCTTGATGGTAGGGCATCCGTGTCACTCACCGAAGCGTCTCCTTGATGGTAGCCTTGAGGTAGTGCATCCTAGTCACTCACCGTAGCGTCTCCTTGATGGTAGGGCATCCGGGTCACTCACCGTAGCGTCTCCTTAATGGTAGGGCATCCTGGTCACTCACCGTAGCGTCTCCTTGATGGTAGGGCATCCGGGTCACTCACCGTAGCGTCTCCTTAATGGTAGGGCATCCTGGTCACTCACCGTAGCGTCTCCTTGATGGTAGGGCATCCGGGTCACTCACCGTAGCGTCTCCTTAATGGTAGGGCATCCTGGTCACTCACCGTAGCGTCTCCTTGATGGTAGGGCATCCGGGTCACTCACCGTAGCGTCTCCTTGATGGTAGGGCATCCGGGTCACTCACCGTAGCGTCTCCTTAATGGTAGGGCATCCTGGTCACTCACCGTAGCGTGGCCTTGATGGTAGGGCATCCGGGTCACTCACCGTAGCGTCTCCTTGATGGTAGGGCATCCGGGTCACTCACCGTAGCGTCTCCTTAATGGTAGGGCATCCTGGTCACTCACCGTAGCGTGGCCTTGATGGTAGGGCATCCGGGTCACTCACCGTAGCGTCTCCTTGATGGTAGCCTTGAGGCGGGGCATCCTGGTCACTCACCGTAGCGTCTTCTTGATGGTAGGGCATCCTGGTCACTCACCGTAGCGTGGCCTTGATGGTAGGGCATCCGGGTCACTCACCGTAGCGTCTCCTTGATGGTAGCCTTGAGGTAGGGCATCCGGCTCACTCACCGTAGCGTCTCCTTGATGGTAGCCTTGAGGTAGGGCATCCTGGTCACTCACCGTAGCGTCTCCTTGATGGTAGCCTTGAGGTAGTGCATCCTGGTCACTCACCGTAGCGTCTCCTTGATGGTAGCCTTGAGGTAGTGCATCCGGGTCACTCACCGTAGCGTCTCCTTGATGGTAGGGCATCCTGGTCACTCACCGTAGCGTCTCCTTGATGGTAGCCTTGAGGTAGGGCATCTGGCTCACTCACCGTAGCGTCTCCTTGATGGTAGGGCATCCTGGTCACTCACCGTAGCGTCTCCTTGATGGTAGCCTTGAGGTAGGGCATCCTGGTCACTCACCGTAGCGTCTCCTTGATGGTAGCCTTGAGGTAGGGCATCTGGCTCACTCACCGTAGCGTCTCCTTGATGGTAGGGCATCCTGGTCACTCACCGTAGCGTCTCCTTGATGGTAGCCTTGAGGTAGGGCATCCTGGTCACTCACCGTAGCGTCTCCTTGATGGTAGCCTTGAGGTAGGGCATCTGGCTCACTCACCGTAGCGTCTCCTTGATGGTAGGGCATCCTGGTCACTCACCGTAGCGTCTCCTTGATGGTAGCCTTGAGGTAGGGCATCCTGGTCACTCACCGTAGCGTCTCCTTGATGGTAGCCTTGAGGTAGGGCATCTGGCTCACTCACCGTAGCGTCTCCTTGATGGTAGGGCATCCTGGTCACTCACCGTAGCGTCTCCTTGATGGTAGCCTTGAGGTAGGGCATCCTGGTCACTCACCGTAGCGTCTCCTTGATGGTAGCCTTGAGGTAGGGCATCCTGGTCACTCACCGTAGCGTCTCCTTGATGGTAGCCTTGAGGTAGGGCATCCTGGTCACTCACCGTAGCGTCTCCTTGATGGTAGCCTTGAGGTAGGGCATCCTGGTCACTCACCGTAGCGTCTCCTTGATGGTAGCCTTGAGGTAGGGCATCCTGGTCACTCACCGTAGCGTCTCCTTGATGGTAGCCTTGAGGTAGGGCATCCTGGTCACTCACCGTAGCGTCTCCTTGATGGTAGCCTTGAGGTAGGGCATCCTGGTGAGCTCCTCTGCAGTAGGCTCAGTAGGGCTATGGCACAGCTCTCTGTAGAGTCTGCTCTGAGTCTCTGGGTTCAGGGAGAGAAGGTGCAGGGCCCAGGTCAGAGTGTTGGACGTCTGGAGGAAACAAGGAAACTCAATATCACTGTCGGCCGCGAGGAACACTGGGCGAATAGGAATAAACATCGGAATATAAACGATTTAGATGTTACGTTAGGGTGTATTCTAGTTTATGTACTGTTTAGACCCCTGGACTAGAGAGAGAGACACCAGAGGGAGGGACTAGAGAGATGAACCAGAGAGAGACTAGAGAGAGACCAGAGAGAGAGACCAGAGAGAGAGACCAGAGAGAGAGACCAGAGAGAGACCAGAGAGAGACCAGAGAGAGAGACCAGAGAGAGACCAGAGAGAGACCAGAGAGAGACTAGAGAGAGACCAGAGAGAGTGACCAGAGAGAGACCAGAGAGAGACTAGAGAGAGACTAGAGAGAGACCAGAGAGAGTGACCAGAGAGAGACCAGAGAGAGACTAGAGAGAGACCAGAGAGAGAGACCAGAGAGAGAGACCAGAGAGAGAGACCAGAGAGAGACCAGAGAGAGACCAGAGAGAGAGACCAGAGAGAGACCAGAGAGAGACCAGAGAGAGACTAGAGAGAGACCAGAGAGAGTGACCAGAGAGAGACCAGAGAGAGACTAGAGAGAGACTAGAGAGAGACCAGAGAGAGACTAGAGAGAGACCAGAGAGAGACTAGAGAGAGACCAGAGAGGGACTAGAGAGAGACCAGAGAGGGACTAGAGAGAGAATGTTTACCGTGTCGACTCCGGCGAGCAGCAGCTCGGCGATGCTCCCGTACACGTCCTTCAGACTCATCTCTGTGTTGGACAAAAGATACGTCAGGTACTCCCCTTGCAGCGCCACCTGGTCCCTCTGCTGGTCCCTCTGCTGGTCCATCTGCTGGTCCCTCTGCTGGTCCACACGACGCTCCATCTCCAACAGCTTACGGTCGATCAACACCTTCGCTGAGATGAAACGAAGAGAGAACATCAGCAACATCAGGATCTGGATGAAATGATCACATACAGTAAGTCTATGTTTATTATAGAGAGAGACCAGAGAGAGAGACCAGAGAGAGAGACCAGAGAGAGAGACCAGAGAGAGGGACCAGAGAGAGGGACCAGAGAGAGAGACCAGAGAGAGAGACCAGAGAGAGAGACCAGAGAGAGAGACCAGAGAGAGAGACCAGAGAGAGAGACCAGAGAGAGAGACCAGAGAGAGAGACCAGAGAGAGGGACCAGAGAGAGAGACCAGAGAGAGGGACCAGAGAGAGAGACCAGAGAGAGAGACCAGAGAGAGAGACCAGAGAGAGACCAGAGAGAGACCAGAGAGAGAGACCAGAGAGAGAGACCAGAGAGAGGGACCAGAGAGAGACCAGAGAGAGACCAGAGAGAGGGACCAGAGAGAGAGACCAGAGAGAGAGACCAGAGAGAGACCAGAGAGAGGGACCAGAGAGAGAGACCAGAGAGAGACAGACCAGAGAGAGAGACCAGAGAGAGACAGACCAGAGAGAGAGACCAGAGAGAGAGACCAGAGAGAGAGACCAGAGAGAGAGCAGAGAGAGACCAGAGAGAGAGACCAGAGAGAGAGACCAGAGAGAGGGACCAGAGAGAGGGACCAGAGAGAGACCAGAGAGAGGGACCAGAGAGAGAGACCAGAGAGAGACCAGAGAGAGACAGACCAGAGAGAGAGACCAGAGAGAGAGACAGACCAGAGAGAGAGACCAGAGAGAGAGACCAGAGAGAGAGACCAGAGAGAGAGCAGAGAGAGACCAGAGAGAGAGACCAGAGAGAGAGACCAGAGAGAGGGACCAGAGAGAGGGACCAGAGAGAGACCAGAGAGAGGGACCAGAGAGAGAGACCAGAGAGAGACAGACCAGAGAGAGAGACCAGAGAGAGACAGACCAGAGAGAGAGACCAGAGAGAGAGACCAGAGAGAGAGACCAGAGAGAGAGCAGAGAGAGACCAGAGAGAGAGACCAGAGAGAGAGACCAGAGAGAGGGACCAGAGAGAGGGACCAGAGAGAGACCAGAGAGAGGGACCAGAGAGAGAGACCAGAGAGAGACCAGAGAGAGAGACCAGAGAGAGGGACCAGAGAGAGGGACCAGAGAGAGGGACCAGAGAGAGAGACCAGAGAGAGAGACCAGAGAGAGAGACCAGAGAGAGAGACCAGAGAGAGGGACCAGAGAGAGAGAGACCAGAGAGAGAGACCAGAGAGAGAGACCAGAGAGAGACCAGAGAGAGACCAGAGAGAGAGACCAGAGAGAGAGACCAGAGAGAGGGACCAGAGAGAGACCAGAGAGAGACCAGAGAGAGGGACCAGAGAGAGAGACCAGAGAGAGAGACCAGAGAGAGACCAGAGAGAGGGACCAGAGAGAGAGACCAGAGAGAGACCAGAGAGAGACAGACCAGAGAGAGAGACCAGAGAGAGACAGACCAGAGAGAGAGACCAGAGAGAGAGACCAGAGAGAGAGACCAGAGAGAGAGCAGAGAGAGACCAGAGAGAGAGACCAGAGAGAGAGACCAGAGAGAGGGACCAGAGAGAGGGACCAGAGAGAGACCAGAGAGAGGGACCAGAGAGAGAGACCAGAGAGAGACCAGAGAGAGACAGACCAGAGAGAGAGCAGAGAGAGACCAGAGAGAGACCAGAGAGAGAGACCAGAGAGAGAGACCAGAGAGAGAGACCAGAGAGAGAGAGACCAGAGAGAGAGACCAGAGAGAGAGACCAGAGAGAGGGACCAGAGAGAGGGACCAGAGAGAGAGACCAGAGAGAGAGACCAGAGAGAGACCAGAGAGAGACAGACCAGAGAGAGAGACCAGAGAGAGACAGACCAGAGAGAGAAACCAGAGAGAGAGACCAGAGAGAGAGACCAGAGAGAGAGACCAGAGAGAGAGAGACCAGAGAGAGGGACCAGAGAGAGGGACCAGAGCGAGAGACCAGAGAGAGAGACCAGAAAGAGAGAGACCAGAGACAGGGACCAGAGAGAGAGACCAGAGAGAGAGACCAGAGAGAGACCAGAGAGAGAGAGCAGAGAGAGAGACCAGAGAGAGAGAGAGACCAGAAAGAGAGAGACCAGAAACAGGGACCAGAGAGAGAGACCAGAGAGAGAGACCAGAGAGAGAGACCAGAGAGACCAGAGAGAGACCAGAGAGAGAGACCAGAGAGAGAGAGACCAGAGAGAGACCAGAGAGAGAGCAGAGAGAGAAAGTAGAAAGGGGAGAAAAGAGAGAGCAGAGAGACTGACCGAAAGAGAAGATGCCCTCCCAGCCCTGGTTGTAGCGCCCCCAGTAGGGCAGCAGGGGGCGACTCCACTTGGGCAGCACGACGACGTAGGGGCTGTTGGAGAACATCTGGACGATGGCGTTGATGAACTCCTGAGTCCCCTCTGGGATCTGCGGCTCCAGGCAACCAATCCGGGTCTCGAACAGGACGGACGCGATGCCTGCAGCACAAGGTTATTTGTTTAGCACAGTTTTTTCATTTCATTTTTCATTTTTTTATTTATTTCATTCATTTAAGAACAAAAACAGCATTTACTATGAATGAAAAGGAGCAGAAAGAAGTGAAAACTTATAATATCTGCTCCTATCAACACAAAATCTTGGACAGTTCCAGTGCATTTGAGCCTCGAATGCAACTCTGGCAATTCCAAACTCCAAACTCAAAATAAAGGTTTCTGATCCACACTTTTTAAACACAAAATCGGACGAAGAAGTTTAGATTTCACACTCCAGACTGCTCCACAGACCGACTCCTTTGACTGACACACATTTTTCCTTTACAGAAGATTGAAACCTGGGTTTGTTAAAGATCTGTTCCTTTTCATTCGTATAAACTTTTTCTCTTGGTGAATCTGTTTTGCAAAGTCATGGGTAAACTTTCCAGATGAGCTTTATACTCAGTTCTTTAAATGTCAGTGTTTTTAATTGTATAAATAATGGATTAGTTGTGTCTCTATATCCACTTCCTGTGACAGCCCTTATATGGCTCGTTTCTGTAGAAGAACAGTCTGATTGATATTTGTTTTGCAGGAACTTCCCCAAACTTCAGTACAACAGGTCAGAATTATACAGTAACAACGCTCTTCTTTAGAGGCACAGATGGGAGACCTTTACTTTAACATTATCAACATGGGATTTCTGTGTCAAATGTTCTTCAATCATAACGACTAAAAACTTTATCTCATGAGCCTTTCCATTTCTAATCCATAATGACTCAACATCTTTTCTTTTACTACAAAAAATCATAAATTTAGTTTTACTAACATTTAGGGACAATTTATTGGCTTTGAACCACTTCATAATTTTCTGGAATCCATTCTCTACGGTTTGAAGAATCTTTAACATTTTTCCCTGTGTAGAATAAAGTATCATCTGCAAATAGACTGCACCAAAGAAACTGAGAGACTGACACAATATCATTAATAATCAACAACAGTAGAGGCCCCAGCACCGATCCTTGGGGCACCCCGCAAGTTATTTTACAATTCTCAGACCTTATATTGTCAATTTCAACAGATTGTTTTCTGTTTGTTAAGCTGGTAACCCATTGCTGTGTCTAATGTCAAACTTTCTAAACAGTGCTTTTTGTCCAGAGGTGATGTCTTCAGTCAGTTCCATTAACGCTGCAGCAGAGATTAGGACCAAACCCATACTGGCTGCTACTTCATAACTTCAATTCATTTAAAAATCGATTTAGTCTAATTGCAAAAAGCTTCTCCAGAATGTTCAAAAGTTGTGAAAGTGATATTGGTCTATAATTGGAAAATTCTGTTTTGTTCCCTTTTTTATAAAATGGAATTACTTTAGCTATTTTCATTCTGTCCGTAAATATCCCGGACGCAAATGATAAATTACAAATATAGGTAAAAGGTTCAATAATGACATCTGTAATTATCTTTATCAGTGTCAGACTCATCTCTGTGCAGGTTTCTTATTCTCACACTTCAGAACCATTGTCAATATCATTTTGTAAATAGTAAATAAATGAAGATGATCACTTCATAAGAACAACACTGATTAATCAGTCATTTACATTTGTATTGGATGTAAATCTGTACTTTTCATGTCATTCTTAAATTCCCCAGATCAATGTTGAAATCACAATATCAAAGATTTGTTATTATTTTTTTCAAATGTTTCAAGGATTTTGTCTGTGAATAATTCAAGAGAAGACCCTGTACACAACTGATCACAATATATTTACCATTTTCATTTGTTATTTCTACTCTAAGTATTTCCATCAGATTTTCCACAGCAATTGTTTTTGTTCAATAGTTTTACATTTTAAAAGAGGATCAGTGTAGAGCGTACACTCTAAAACATCAGAGTCCTTCAGTTAACTCTCAGCTCTTACTCTGAACTTTCTATTTGACTGAGTAGTTCTTTTATTTGGTCTATATTTCATTTTAAACTTGGACTATTAAAGTGTATGATGTTTCAAGCACGTTGTGCGTCTCTTCCTTATATTGTTGTACAGTATAATAATTCCTCAGGGGTTAACAAACCCTGTTCAGTGTCATTTTCTAAATGATAAATGTTATCTTTGTTCGTGTCTACAAATGTTTCCATGATTCAGTGTTGTGTGTCCGAGTGTATCCCACCTGACTGATCCATGGTCAGCTGCAGAGTCTCACTCTTGTCCTTGACCTTTGCTGAACCATTGTGTTCCCTGATCCACACGTTTCCATGTCCCAGTAATCTTCTTCTGTTTCCTCACATCCTCGCCTCTCGCACAATGCCTCCATTCTTTTTTGTGAGGTGTTCGTTTATATTTGTTCCTTTCAGTCTTTTAGCTTGAGTTAGATCATTTCTCAGCTTACAGCGGGTCCAGATGTTTCAGACCTACTGCAGGGAGTGGCAGCGGATATTACCTCTGAATGTTTATTTATGATGTTTATTTATGATGTTTAAGTTGAGGAAATCCACCACCTGCTGCTCTTCCCTCGGAGCGTCCTCCGTGGTCTCTGCGTCAGCTGCCGTCCCGGCGTTAGCTGCCGTCCCGGCGTCAGCTGCTGTCCCGGCGTCAGCTGCTGTCCCGGCGTCAGCTGCCGTCCCGGCGTCAGCTGCCGTCCCGGCGTCAGCTGCCGTCCCGGCGTCAGCTGCCGTCCCGGCGTCAGCTGCCGTCCCGGCGTCAGCTGCCGTCCCGGCGTCAGCTGCCGTCCCGGCGTCAGCTGCCGTCCCGGCGTCAGCTGCCGTCCCGGCGTCAGCTGCCGTCCCGGCATTAGCTGCCGTCCCGGCGTCAGCTGCCGTCCCGGCATTAGCTGCCGCCGGGCGTCAGCTGCCGTCCCGGCGTCAGCTGCCGTCCCGGCGTCAGCTGCCGTCCCGGCGTCAGCTGCTGTCCCGGCATTAGCTGCTGTCCCGGCGTCAGCTGCCGTCCCGGCGTCAGCTGCCGTCCCGGCGTCAGCTGCTGTCCCGGCATTAGCTGCTGTCCCGGCGTCAGCTGCCGTCCCGGCGTCAGCTGCCGTCCCGGCGTCAGCTGCTGTCCTGGCGTAGGTGCGGTGCAGAGTCTTTAATCCTGTAATCACCAAATGGTCCCTGCGTGAATACTGCTCCAGCGCAGATATCCACACGTCCTTTTCTCTCAGCATCACGTTCACAGTTGTTACTTCTTCAACAAGTTTGAGCAGGCGCTCCTGTTGCCATGTCACCTTTGCCAGCTCACCTGACATGAAGTTAAGTGATTGCTCGATCTCCTCCATGTCGCCTACCGCATGATTTTAGATGCGTGTTTATTACTGTCCAGTTATCAGCCACAGCTGATAACTGGACAGAGAACAGAACCGGACAGAGAACAGAACCGGACAGAGAACAGAACCGGACAGAGAACAGAACCGGACAGAGAACAGAACCGGACAGAGAACAGAACCGGACAGAGAACAGAACCGGACAGTTCATACACAAGAGAAAGTAAGAAACAATCACAGTACGTTAAAAAGAGTGAAGATACAGTCCTTCAAATATTTGCACGCTCTGGTCCTCTCTCTCTGGTCTCTCTCTGGTCTCTCTCTGGTCTCTCTCTGGTCTCTCTCTCTGGTCTCTCTCTCTGGTCTCTCTCTCTGGTCTCTCTCTGGTCTCTCTCTCTGGTCTCTCTCTGGTCTCTCTCTCTGGTCTCTCTCTGGTCTCTCTCTCTGGTCTCTCTCTGGTCTCTCTCTCTGGTCTCTCTCTCTGGTCTCTCTCTCTGGTCTCTCTCTCTGGTCTCTCTCTCTGGTCTCTCTCTCTGGTCTCTCTCTCTGGTCTCTCTCTCTGGTCTCTCTCTCTGGTCTCTCTCTCTGGTCTCTCTCTCTGGTCTCTCTCTCTGGTCTCTCTCTCTGGTCTCTCTCTCTGGTCTCTCTCTGGTCTCTCTGGTCTCTCTCTGGTCTCTCTCTGGTCTCTCTCTGGTCTCTCTCTGGTCTCTCTCTGGTCTCTCTCTCTGGTCTCTCTCTCTGGTCTCTCTCTGGTCTCTCTCTGGTCTCTCTCTCTGGTCTCTCTCTCTGGTCTCTCTCTCTGGTCTCTCTCTCTGGTCTCTCTCTCTGGTCTCTCTCTCTGGTCTCTCTCTCTGGTCTCTCTCTGGTCTCTCTCTCTGGTCTCTCTCTGGTCTCTCTCTGGTCTCTCTCTGGTCTCTCTCTGGTCTCTCTCTGGTCTCTCTCTGGTCTCTGGTCTCTCTCTGGTCTCTCTCTGGTCTCTGGTCTCTCTCTGGTCTCTCTGGTCCTTCTCTGGTCTCTCTCTGGTCTCTCTCTGGTCTCTCTCTGGTCTCTCTCTGGTCTCTGGTCTCTCTCTGGTCTCTCTCTCTGGTCTCTCTCTCTGGTCTCTCTCTCTGGTCTCTCTCTCTGGTCTCTCTCTGGTCTCTCTCTCTGGTCTCTCTCTGGTCTCTCTCTGGTCTCTCTCTGGTCTCTCTCTCTGGTCTCTCTCTCTGGTCTCTCTCTGGTCTCTCTCTCTCTGGTCTCTCTCTCTCTGGTCTCTCTCTCTGGTCTCTCTCTGGTCTCTCTCTGGTCTCTCTCTGGTCTCTCTCTCTCTGGTCTCTCTCTCTCTGGTCTCTCTCTCTCTGGTCTCTCTCTGGTCTCTCTCTGGTCTCTCACCCTCCAGAGAGAAGCGGTAGAGCTCGTTGGCGATGTCCTGGACTTGGTCTCCGCTGGGACTGGACTCTCTCAGGGTCTGGACTCTGAGGATGAAGTCTCGGACCACATCTCGGATCACGGGTCCAAATTGCAGACTCTCCTTCGGGAGCAGCATCCTCCTGTTCAGAACTGAACGGAGACGGTACCAGCGATCGCCCTCCCTGAAGACACCATAGAGAGACCAGGTGAGAGAGACCAGAGAGAGACCAGGTGAGAGAGACCAGAGAGAGACCAGGTGAGAGAGACCAGAGAGAGACCAGGTGAGAGAGAGAGCAGAGAGACGCTTTAGGGCACGCTGCCAGTAAAGCGTTACAGTCGAGCCTTGAGGTGACAAACGCGTGAATGAGTTTTTCCGCGTCACTTTTAGGAAGAATATTCCTGATTTTAGCGATGTTCCGTAAGTGGAAGTACGCCGTTTTAGTTGCTTGGCTTATATAAGCCTTGAAGGAGAGTTCTTGGTCAAAAATGACTCCAAGATTCCTCACAGTGTTACTGGGTATAATACTGACATTATCAGAGTAATTATCTGGTTAGTGAGGGAGTCACGCAGGCGCTTCGGACCGAGTAGGATCACTTCTGTCTTCTCCGGGTTGAGAAGTAGGAAGTTAAGAGTTATCCACATTTTAAGGTCCTTTATGCAGCACTGAGCTTTTCTAGCTGATCTGTCTGATTTGGCTTCATCGACAGATAAAGCTGTGTGTCATCTGCAGCAGTGGAAATTAATTCCATGCTTTTTAATAATGTTTCCTAACGGCAGCATGTAGAGAGTAAAAAGAATCGGTCCGAGTATCGAACCCTGCGGCACACCGAATTCTACTCCAGAATAAGGCGACGAGTTCTGATTTACGTTGACGAAGTGATACCGATCTGATAAATAGGATTTAAACCAGCCAAGGGCTGTTCCTCTAAGACCTATATCACATTCTAGCCTCTGCAGTAGAATGCTGTGGTCTATTGTGTCAAATGCAGCACTAAGGTCCAGTAGGACCAGCACTAACACTTGTCCATTATCAGCAGCTAGTAGTAAGTCATTTGTGACTTTGACTAGTGCCGTTTCAGTCTATGATGAGCTCTGAAGGAAAGAGACTAGAGAGGGACCAGAGAGGGACCAGAGAGGGACCAGAGAGGGACCAGAGAGAGACCAGAGAGGGACCAGAGAGGGACCAGAGAGGGACCAGAGAGGGACCAGAGAGGGACCAGAGAGAGACCAGAGAGGGACCAGAGAGGGACCAGAGAGAGACCAGAGAGGGACCAGAGAGGGACCAGAGAGGGACCAGAGAGAGACCAGAGAGGGACCAGAGAGACCAGAGAGAGACCAGAGAGAGACCAGAGAGAGACCAGAGAGGGACCAGAGAGGGACCAGAGAGAGACCAGAGAGAGACCAGAGAGAGACCAGAGAGGGACCAGAGAGGGACCAGAGAGGGACCAGAGAGGGACCAGAGAGAGACCAGAGAGAGACCAGAGAGAAAGGCCAGAGTCAGATTTTGTCTGTAAAAGTTACTCAGTAAAGGGACCGTAGCCGAGTCCCTGTGAGTCGCGGTACTCCTTCCACAGGGACATGTCTCCTCGCACTGGGAACCGCTCCTCCCTCCTCAGCACCTCCTCCAGGAGCTCAGCCGTGTTCACTGCCACAGTGCGGAGGCCGTCTCTATACATGGGACCATGAAGGGCCTTCTCATACAGCTGTAGGAGGGGGAGGAGGGGGGAGGAGGGGGGAGGAGAGGGGAGGAGAGGGGAGAGATATCTGTGTTTACAAAGACTATATCACACTATAAACTCTCTGGTCTCTCTCTGGTCTCTCTCCTGGTCTCTCTCTCTGGTCTCTCTCTGGTCTCTCTCTGGTCTCTCTCTGGTCTCTCTCTGGTCTCTCTCTGGTCTCTCTCTGGTCTCTCTCTGGTCTCTCTCTGGTCTCTCTCTGGTCTCTCTCTGGTCTCTCTCTGGTCTCTCTCTGGTGTCTCTCTGGTCTCTCTCTGGTCTCTCTCTGGTCTCTCTCTGGTCTCTCTGGTCTCTCTCCCTGGTCTCTTTCTGGTCTCTCCCTGGTCTCTCTCTGGTCTCTCTCTGGTCTCTCTCTGGTCTCTCTCTGGTCTCTCCCTGGTCTCTCTCTGGTCTCTCTCCCTGGTCTCTTTCTGGTCTCTCCCTGGTCTCTCTCTGGTCTCTCTCTGGTCTCTCTCTGGTCTCTCTCTCTGGTCTCTCTCTGGTCTCTCTCTGGCCTCTCTCTGGCCTCTCTCTGGTCTCTCTCTGGTCTCTCTCCCTGGTCTCTTTCTGGTCTCTCTCTGGTCTCTCCCTGGTCTCTCCCTGGTCTCTCTCTGGTCTCTCTCTGGTCTCTCTCTCTGGTCTCTCTCTGGTCTCTCCCTGGTCTCTCTCTGGTCTCTCTCCCTGGTCTCTCTCTGGTCTCTCTCTGGTCTCTCCCTGGTCTCTCTCTGGTCTCTCCCTGGTCTCTCTCTGGTCTCTCTCTGGTCTCTCTCTGGTCTCTCTCTGGTCTCTCTCTCTGGTCTCTCTCTCTGGTCTCTCTCTGGTCTCTTTCTGGTCTCTTTCTGGTCTCTCTCTGGTCTCTCTCTGGTCTCTCTCTCTGGTCTCTCTCTGGTCTCTCTCTGGTCTCTCTCTGGTCTCTCTCTCTGGTCTCTCTCTGGTCTCTCCCTGGTCTCTCTCTGGTCTCTCTCTGGTCTCTATATCCTTCATAAAGGAAAAAGGAGGCTAAGAAGATTCAACAGTTCAATACATGAAATATAAACACCAGGATCACAGAGAACCATAAACCAGTTTACTCTTACATGGAAGTCAATAGGAACCAGAGAAAGGAGCCAAACTTCACCATGAGCACTTCCCTCTTGGACTAGCGGGTTAGCATTGTCCACCCGTGTACAAGGGAAATCCTGTTTGTTTGTGAGAGTGAAAAACAATGTGGTCTGAAAGCAGACTGTTGCCATGGATACAGATGTAATCTGATCACACAGGCATTTGGACCAGAAAGAGACCGGAGAGACAAGAGAGAGACCGGAGAGACAAGAGAGAGACCAGAGAGAGACCAGAGAGACCAGAGAGAGAGATCAGAGAGAGAGACCAGAGAGAGAGACCAGAGAGAGAGACCAGAGAGAGAGACCAGAGAGAGACTAGAGAGAGACCAGAGAGACAAGAGAGACACCAGAAAGACCCCAGAGAGAGACCGGAGAGAGACCAGAGACCAGAGACCAGAGAGACACCAGAAAGAGACCAGAGAGAGACCGGAGAGAGACCAGAGAGAGACCAGAGAGAGACCAGAGAGAGACCAGAGAGAGACCAGAGAGAGACCAGAGAGACCAGAGAGAGACCAGAGAGAGACCAGAGAGAGACCAGAGAGAGACCAGAGAGAGACCAGAGAGAGACCAGGGAAAGACCAGAAAGAGACCAGAGAGAGACCAGAGAGAGACCAGAAAGACCCCAGAGAGAGACCTGAGAGAGACCAGAGAGAGACCAGAGAGAGACCGGAGAGAGACCGAAGAGAGAGACCAGAGAGAGACCAGAGAGAGACCAGAGAGAGACTAGAGAGAGACTAGAGAGAGACCAGAGAGAGACCAGAGAGAGACCAGGGAAAGACCAGAGAGAGACCAGAGAGAGACCAGAGAGAGACCAGAGAGAGACCAGAAAGACCCCAGAGAGAGACCAGAGAGAGTCCAGAGAGAGACCAGGCTGGTTGGGTGTGGATCTCACCTGTAGCTCGTGCATACGGTTGTAGAATCCTTTGACCAACAGTCTGTAGAAGAACCTCACAAACCCCACCTTCGGTAGGTCCCTGATGGTCTGGACTTTGCTAGGGTCTATGGTCTGAGTCCTAGTCTTGTCCTGGGTCCCGGTCTGGTCTTGGGTTCCAGTGGACACTGAGCCTGAGGCCTCTGCTCTCTGGACTGGGCAGATTCTAGGGACTAAAGACGATCCCATTGTCCCAGATCTTAAAAGTCCAGACCTGGACCAGGACCAGAGCAGAGCAGACATGATGCTGGTGCCGTGGGAAGACCAGACCTCAGTCCTGCTTTAGACCTGCTTTAGACCTGCTTTAGTCCTGCTTTAGTCCTGCTTTGGACCTGCTTTGGACCTGCTTTAGTCCTGCTTTAGACCTGCTTTAGTCCTGCTTTAGTCCTGCTTTAGACCTGCATTAGTCCTGCTTTAGTCCTGCTTTAGACCTGCTTTAGACCTGCTTTAGACCTGCTTTTGACCTGCTTTAGTCCTGCTTTAGTCCTGCTTTAGACCTGCTTTAGACCTGCTTTAGTCCTGCTTTAGTCCTGCTTTAGTCCTGCTTTAGACCTGCTTTAGACCTGCTTTAGTCCTGCTTTAGACCTGCTTTAGACCTGCTTTAGACCTGCTTTAGTCCTGCTTTAGTCCTGCTTTAGACTTGCTTTAGTCCTGCTTTAGACCTGCTTTTGACCTGCTTTAGTCCTGCTTTAGTCCTGCTTTAGACCTGCTTTAGACCTGCTTTAGTCCTGCTTTAGACCTGCTTTAGACCTGCTTTAGACCTGCTTTAGTCCTGCTTTAGTCCTGCTTTAGACCTGCTTTAGTCCTGCTTTAGACCTGCTTTTGACCTGCTTTAGTCCTGCTTTAGTCCTGCTTTAGACCTGCTTTAGACCTGCTTTAGACCTGCTTTAGACCTGCTTTAGACCTGCTTTAGACCTGCTTTAGACCTGCTTTAGTCCTGCTTTAGACCTGCTTTAGTCCTGCTTTAGACCTGGTTTAGTCCTGCTTTAGACCTGCTTTAGACCTGCTTTAGTCCTGCTTTAGTCCTGCTTTAGACCTGCTTTAGACCTGCTTTAGTCCTGCTTTAGACCTGCTTTAGACCTGCTTTAGACCTGCTTTAGACCTGCTTTAGTCCTGCTTTAGACCTGCTTTAGACCTGCTTTAGTCCTGCTTTAGACCTGCTTTAGTCCTGCTTTAGACCTGGTTTAGTCCCAGATTAGTTAAACTTTACTCTAGTTTAAAGACCTGTTATAGTCCTGCAATAATCCTGGTTCAGTCCTCAGCGTTACATCATAAACTGTTACACAAGGGCTACACCTGGTTCAGACCTGGTTCAGACCTGGTTCAGACCTGGTTGAATCTTTTGAACTCTTGTTTTATCACTTTGTGTTAAGTATATGTATTTAAATGGGATTTTGTTTCTACTTTCCCAACTTTACAAACACGTGTGTGTTTGTGTTTTAGATTCACACAGATACACACGGACACACTCTGATACACACAGACACACAAACACACACTGATAAACACACACACAGACGGACACACACTGATACACACACACAGACGGACACACACTGATACACACAAACACACACTGATACACACAGACACACAAACACACACTGATAAACACACACACAGACGGACACACACTGATACACACACACAGACGGACACACACTGATACACACAAACACACACTGATACACACAGACACACAAACACACACTGATAAACACACACACAGACGGACACACACTGATACACACACACACAGACGGACACACACTGATACACACAGACACACACTGATACACACAGACACACACTGATACACACAGACACACACTGATAAACACAAAGTGTCAAAACCTGCTGATGTTAGTTTTTTGTTCCAATAAAGTCAAAGTCTCTCAGACTTTTCTCATTAGTCCAACTTTAACAAGAACAACTTGTCCTGCTTTAGTCCTGCTTTGGTCCTGCTTTGGTCCTGCTTTGGTCCTGCTTTGGTCCTGGTTCAGACCTACTTTAGTCCTGTTATGGTCCTGTTTCAGACCTGCTTTAGTCCTGCTTTGGACCTGCTTTGGTCCTGGTTTAGCCCTGGTTTAGTCCTGGTTCAGACCTGCTTTGGTCCAGGTTTAGTCCTGGTTTAGTCCTGCTTTAGTCCCTCCAGAGGACTGACTCGGCCCAGCTTCATCACATAACTCAGCTCCGGTGACAGAGGAAGGGAGGAGTCTGACTTTAACCCTTCACACAATAGACCAGAGAGAGACCAGAGAGAGACCAGAGAGAGACCAGAGAGAGACCAGAGGGAGACCAGAGAGAGACCAGAGAGAGACCAGAGAGACCAGAGAGAGACCAGAGAGAGACCAGAGAGAGACCAGAGAGAGACCAGAGAGGGACCAGAGAGAGAGACCAGAGAGAGACCAGAGCGAGACCAGAGAGAGACCAGAGAGAGACCAGAGAGAGACCAGAGCGAGACCAGAGCGAGACCAGAGAGAGACCAGAGCGAGACCAGAGAGAGACCAGAGAGAGAGTTCATGCTAAATCTTGCTTCCGCAAACATAAACACAATTATCATTTATTAGACTTTTTATTATTAATTTAGTCTCAGTCTTTGAAGCTGCTCCATCAACGTCTATGAGGAGTTGACTGACCGGGGCGAGGTGAAGCAAAACTCTGTCCATGAGCACTTCCCTGCTGGGCTTCATCGAGCTCGCGGGTTAGCATTGTCCATCTGTGTACAGTCTGTGAGCTCGTCTCTATCGCCCCCTGTGGTCATTTTGGAATTCACCACAAAGAAGACCGGAACTTCAAATTTTTATACAGGTATTCTCAAGAGACCAGAGAGAGACCAGAGAGAGACCAGAGCGAGACCAGAGAGGGACCAGAGAGAGACCAGAGAGAGACCAGAGCGAGACCAGAGAGAGACCAGAGAGAGACCAGAGAGAGACCAGAGAGAGACCAGAGAGAGACCAGAGAGAGACAAGTCTGGTCTTCACGTTCTCTATCGCCCCCTGTGGTCAGTCTCTGATGGTGCAGACGCTCTCTATCGCCCCCTGTGGTCAGTCTCTGATGGTGCAGACGTTCTCTATCGCCCCTTGTGGTCAGTCTCTGATGGTGCAGACGCTCTCTATCGCCCCCTGTGGTCAGTCTCTGATGGTGCAGACGTTCTATATCGCCCCCTGTGGTCAGTCTCTGATGGTGCTGACGCTCTCTATCGCCCCCTGTGGTCAGTCTCTGATGGTGCAGACGTTCTCTATCGCCCCCTGTGGTCAGTCTCTGATGGTGCAGACGTTCTCTATCGCCCCCTGTGGTCAGTCTCTGATGGTGCTGACGCTCTCTATCGCCCCCTGTGGTCAGTCTCTGATGGTGCAGACGTTCTCTATCGCCTCCTGTGGTCAGTCTCTGATGGTGCTGACGCTCTCTATCGCCCCCTGTGGTCAGTCTCTGATGGTGCTGACGCTCTCTATCGCCCCCTGTGGTCAGTCTCTGATGGTGCTGACGCTCTCTATCGCCCCCTGTGGTCAGTCTCTGATGGTGCAGACGTTCTCTATCGCCCCCTGTGGTCAGTCTCTGATGGTGCAGACGTTCTCTATCGCCCCCTGTGGTCAGTCTCTGATGGTGCAGACGTTCTCTATCGCCCCCTGTGGTCAGTCTCTGATGGTGTTGACGCTCTCTATCGCCCCCTGTGGTCAGTCTCTGATGGCGTTGACGTTCTCTATCGCCCCCTGTGGTCAGTCTCTGATGGCGTTGACGTTCTCTATAGCCCCCTGTGGTCAGTCTCTGATGGTGCAGACGTTCTCTATCGCCCCCTGTGGTCAGTCTCTGATGGTGCAGACGTTCTCTATCGCCCCCTGTGGTCAGTCTCTGATGGTGCAGACGTTCTCTATCGCCCCCTGTGGTCAGTCTCTGATGGTGCTGACGTTCTCTATCGCCCCCTGTGGTCAGTCTCTGATGGTGCTGACGCTCTCTATCGCCCCCTGTGGTCAGTCTCTGATGGTGCAGACGTTCTCTATCGCCCCCTGTGGTCAGTCTCTGATGGTGCAGACGTTCTCTATCGCCCCCTGTGGTCAGTCTCTGATGGTGCAGACGCTCTCTATCGCCCCCTGTGGTCAGTCTCTGATGGTGTTGACGCTCTCTATCGCCCCCTGTGGTCAGTCTCTGATGGTGTTGACGCTCTCTATCGCCCCCTGTGGTCAGTCTCTGATGGTGCAGACGTTCTCTATCGCCCCCTGTGGTCAGTCTCTGATGGTGCAGACGTTCTCTATCGCCCCCTGTGGTCAGTCTCTGATGGTGCAGACACTCTCTATCGCCCCCTGTGGTCAGTCTCTGATGGTGCAGACGTTCTCTATCGCCCCCTGTGGTCAGTCTCTGATGGTGCTGACGTTCTCTATCGCCCCCTGTGGTCAGTCTCTGATGGTGCTGACGTTCTCTATCGCCCCCTGTGGGTCGGTCTTGTGCAGCAGCAGGTGGCCCTGGACCTGAGCCGCACTGATCTCCTGGTGCAGACTCAGGGCGTCCCGAGCGAAGCGGTCCCCGTCAGAGAGAGAGGCCTCTGGGTAGAAGCGTCCAAACATCTGGGCCAGCTGCCAGTGCGAGCAGGGACCGATGTACTGCTTCAAGTCCACACGGCCAGGTCGCACCAGCGCCGGGTCCAGGCTGAGACCAGAGGGAGACCAGAGGGAGACCAGAGGGAGACCAGAGGGAGACCGTCAGATTCAGACACATGTGCTGAAGTCCCCAGTGTGCACCTCATACAGCACTTACATAAAACTAGATCAATAAGTACAAGAATAGTCACTGAGAAACCATCAACAAAAACTGCTACAAAACAAGAGAGAGACCAGAGAGAGACCAGAGAGAGAGACCAGAGAGAGAGACCAGAGAGAGACCAGAGAGAGAGACCAGAGGGAGACCAGAGAGAGACCAGAGAGAGAGACCAGAGAGAGACCAGAGAGAGAGACCAGAGAGAGACCAGAGGGAGACCAGAGAGAGAGACCATAGAGAGACCAGAGAGAGACCAGAGAGAGACCAGAGAGAGAGACCAGAGAGAGAGACCAGAGAGAGACCAGAGGGAGACCAGAGAGAGACCAGAGAGAGACCAGAGAGAGACCAGAGACAGACCAAAGAGAGCTCAAAGAGAGACCAGAGAGAGACCAGAGGGAGACCAGAGAGAGAGACCAGAGAGAGACCAAAGAGAGATCAAAGAGAGACCAGAGAGAGACCAGAGACAGACCAAAGAGAGATCAAAGAGAGACCAGAGAGAGACCAGAGAGACTTGCTGGTCCTCACCGCTCGATGTAGTTGGTGGTCATGAAGAGGATGCGAGCCTCAGATGAAGCCACTCCGTCTAAAGAGTTGAGGAGACCGCTGAAGGTGAGGCGCCCCATGCCCTGGAACGCCAGCGGGTCTGAGGGTAGAACCAAGATCACGTTAGGGTCTCAGCTGGTGAGGCCCAGTTCAGACCGTACCTAGGACCCAGCATTCAGACTGGTTTATAATCTGACGTTGGTTTCTCTAAACAAACTGACCAGAGTCTGGTCCTGGTCCTGGTCCTCATCCAGTTTAGTACAAACATCATTTTATCATTGTGTGAAGACTCTGGGTCCAAGTCCAGGACCAAGACCCTGAGTCCAAGTCCAGGACCAAGAATCAGGGCCCAAGTCCAGGACCAAGACTCTGGGTCCAAGTCCAGAACCAAGAAACCTTTTTCTAGACCATTGACCTGTCCCAATTCTGAGGGCCCTCCAGGTGTGAGTGCCCTCACCAGAAGAGTGCCTTCCCAGTGGGGAGTGCACTCAGAGGATGTTCTCCCTAAGAATTAGGACACCCCTGGAACTAGGGGACAATATGCAAATAAAGCAGCAGACGTGTCTCTGTGCACGTACGCACACTGAGACGTACCACACAGACACATGTACATACACGTACGCACACTGAGACGTACCACACAGACACATGTACATACACGTACGCACACAGAGACGTACCACACAGAGACATGTACATACACGTACGCACACAGAGACGTACCACACAGACACATGTACATACACGTACGCACACAGACGTACCACACAGACACATGTACATACACGTACGCACACTGAGACGTACCACACAGACACATGTACATACACGTACGCACACTGAGACGTACCACACAGACACATGTACATACACGTACGCACACTGAGACGTACCACACAGACACATGTACATACACGTACGCACACTGAGACGTACCACACAGACACATGTACATACACGTACGCACACTGAGACGTACCACACAGACACATGTACATACACGTACGCACACTGAGACGTACCACACAGACACATGTACATACACGTACGCACACTGAGACGTACCACACAGACACATGTACATACACGTACGCACACTGAGACGTACCACACAGACACATGTACATACACGTACGCACACAGAGACGTACCACACAGACACATGTACATACACGTATACACACTGAGACGTACCACACAGACACATGTACATACACGTACGCACACTGAGACGTACCACACAGAGACATGTACATACACGTACGCACACAGACGTACCACACAGACACATGTACATACACGTACGCACACAGAGACGTACCACAGACACATGTACATACACGTACGCACACAGAGACGTACCACACAGACACATGTACATACACGTCCATAATAACATGGATCTATGATAATAACATGGATCTATGATAATAACATGGATCTATGATAATAACATGGATCTATAATAATAACATGGATCTATAATAATAACATGGATCTATAATAATAACATGGATCTATAATAATAACATGGATCTATAATAATAACATGGATCTATAATAATAACATGGATCTATAATAATAACATGGATCTATAATAATAACATGGATCTATAATAATAACATGGATCTATAATAATAACATGGATCTATAATAATAACATGGATCTATAATAATAACATGGATCTATAATAATAACATGGATCTATAATAATAACATGGATCTATAATAATAACATGGATCTATAATAATAACATGGATCTATGATAATAACATGGATCTATGATAATAACATGGATCTATAATAATAACATGGATGTATAATAATAACATGGATCTATAATAATAACATGGATCCACGTCTCTGAAGTCTCAGTGAACGCCACACACTGCGGCCGCTTCAAGAGCGAACGTCACCGCACACGGCACAAACACACGCATTAAAAACTCTGAATGACTCGCACACGCCTCGGAGCTTCCTCACGTTCACCACAAACTTGTGCCCGTTTGTTTCATGTTGTTTTCTTTCATTTGCCTGACAGCTGCTTTAAATGGTTGAGGTTCTCCGCTTGAAGTTTCTTTTAGCCCGTCCGTTTGTGAGAGGATCTCTACTGCTCTCCCTGTCGCACAGAAAATAAAAATACAAGTGGCCTTTAGGGGAAAAAAATCATACATATTTTAATAATATCAAGAATTACCTTCAGGCTCAATTTGTATCTGGTCGAGGCTCTTTCCTTCGAATTCCGTCACTCTTCCCTGCTCCATGGCCATCAACACTTTGCTGATTTTGGCCAGCTCCAGTGTCCCCTCTGGTAGTCTGTAATATTGCCTGTGGATGCGAATGTCATGGCCGAGGAAGTTGGCAAGTATGTCCATCTCATTCTCTTTCATATTGAGAACTGTAGACATAGTAGCTATGTGCTTTCTAAGTTTGGTTGAGGATAGCATCTCTGGATGCACCGCACCACATTCTTTGGCTACCTGGCGTAGGGAGTCTGATCCCCTGATGTGGGTGTCTGCGCCCGGGCGGGAAAAGAAGTATGGGTTATGGTCAGAGATGGAACAGGCCCTTCTGTTCTCCACCAGCACCTCCATCGAAGCAATCATTTCAGGAGTCAAAAGAACCGGCACTTTCCGACTTCTTTTCCCTTTAATTTCAATGCGTTGAAAATGCTGACACAGCTTTTTCTCAAGTTGGGACAGTCCCAGAGCAATGTCAGAATGGATCCCAGTCTTACTTCTTAAGGTAAAGGCTGTCAGTGGCATCTTTGAAACCTCACCTTCCCTTCTTCGATTGAAAATGATGACCTCACAAAGAGTCAAAACTGCCAGTTTAGACCAATGCTTAGACGTTGGCTCACTTATTAGGGTTTGCACATATTCAGGTCGACATACCTCAATATGTGCATGCATGGCTCTAACGTCCTCAGTCAGAGGGAGCAGGTCCGGAGTGTTCCACTTGGCTTGCCGGAGGGTCTGTAGGGCAGCAGAAGAAACACAGACGTCCCACCTCTTCTCAAAAAGCAGCCGGCTTCGTTGGAGGTTTTTAATAAATAGTTCATCAACACAATGCTCCATTTTTGAGTCACATTCAAGAATATCTGCTAGCTTTCTGAGGCTATGGCCGAGTTTGAGGGCCAAGGATGGAGTCTTGTATTGATTTGTTTCCTCATCATATCCAGCCACAGACCTGACTGCATCAATCACATGGTTAAAGTTGGAAGGAATAAAGAAATCCTTAATTGTTTTCAGTTTCCCTGCGGTTTTTGCTTCGTTAATTAACCTACCGACTTCTCTCATTTTCTGCCTAATGTAATCATGCTTTGTCTTATCATGCCCGTGTTTTAAGTACAGGTGCTCTCCGAGTCTCAGAATCCCCTTTTCTGCTTTGACAACACCCGTGACCTCATCCTGATGCATTGCCGAAATTAAAGACCACAGCTTTTTGCTGATGCCCTCCGGTACAGGCTGGGCTAGGGAGCAGAGGGACTGGACCCTACTTCTACCTGGTTTAGCCTGGGCATCTTTCTGTGAAAGCCGGCACCTGGCCACATGCCTCCACAGCGACTTTCGCTTAAGCAATGCCCCACAGTCTATACAGTGCAAAAACTCACTGGATTTAACTGGGGAATTTGGCTGTTTAGCTGGGACTAAAGTTCCAATGCCGGCCTTTAAAACCTCAAAATTGTGCTCACGGTTTCCACTATTCCTGATCAAATCAAACTGAAGTTTACGTGCTTTAGATTTCACAGGTAGAGCCAATGCTCTGGCTACGTCACTTTCATTTCCATGTTTTCTAGTCAAATGACGGGACATTTTGTGGCAGGACATTGAACAGTAGAGGCAGAAGTGTCTCTTGCTGTATACTCGCCCCCATTTTTCTTCTTTTGCAGCTGCATGATAACAATCTTATTTGCCTTTGGTTCGTCACTTTCCGAGTCTTGAAGAAAAGTGTTTTTGATTTTTCTTTTTCCATACTTTTTTACAGGTTTCTTCTTGACAGTTAAATCGTCAGAATCTGAGTCGACTTCATCAATTAGGGACTCTTGACTAAGCTGCACAAACAACAAATAATTTGTAATCATTCTATATAACAATTTGAAGTCATGACTTGTAGTCAGCACTTACCAGTGGTTTGTAAGCGTGCGCTTCAGTGTGCTCCTCCATGATTTCTTGCAGCCTAATGAACCACACACTTGCACCTTTTTCTAGCCTGACACCTGATTTCCTCTGTTGTGCTGCTCCATGATTGGCTCCAGCCTCTCTCTGGTCTCTCTCTGGTCTCTTCCTGGTCTCTCTCTGGTCTCTCTCTGGTCTCTCTCTGGTCTCTCTCTGGTCTCTCTCTGGTCTCTCTCTGGTCTCTCTCTGGTCTCTCTCTTGTCTCTCTCTGGTCTCTCTCTGGTCTCTCTCTTGTCTCTTTCTGGTCTATCTCTGGTCTCTCTCTCTGGTCTCTCTCTGGTCTCTCTCTTGTCTCTCTCTGGTCTCACTCTGGTCTCTCTCTGGTCTCTCTCTGGTCTCTCTCTGGTCTCTCTCTGGTCTCTCTCTGGTCTCTCTCTGGTCTCTCCCTGGTCTCTCTCTGGTCTCTCTCTGGTCTCTTTCTGGTCTCTCTCTGGTCTCTCTCTGGTCTCTCTCTGGTCTCTCTCTGGTCTCTCTCTGGTCTCTCTCTGGTCTCTCCCTGGTCTCTCTCTCTGGTCTCTCTCTGGTCTCTCTCTGGTCTCTCTCTGGTCTCTCTCTGGTCTCTCCCTGGTCTCTCTCTGGTCTCTCTCTGGTCTCTTTCTGGTCTCTCTCTGGTCTCTCTCTGGTCTCTCTCTGGTCTCTCCCTGGTCTCTCTCTTGTCTCTTTCTGGTCTCTCTCTGGTCTCTCTCTGGTCTCTCTCTGGTCTCTCTCTTGTCTCTTTCTGGTCTATCTCTGGTCTCTCTCTTGTCTCTTTCTGGTCTATCTCTGGTCTCTCTCTCTGGTCTCTCCCTGGTCTCTCTCTGGTCTCTCTCTGGTCTCTCTCTGGTCTCTCCCTGGTCTCTCTCTCTGGTCTCTCTCTGGTCTCTCTCTGGTCTCTCTCTTGTCTCTTTCTGGTCTATCTCTGGTCTCTCTCTCTGGTCTCTCCCTGGTCTCTCTCTTGTCTCTCTCTGGTCTCACTCTGGTCTCTCTCTGGTCTCTCTCTGGTCTCTCTCTGGTCTCTCCCTGGTCTCTCTCTCTGGTCTCTCTCTGGTCTCTCTCTGGTCTCTCTCTGGTCTCTCCCTGGTCTCTCTCTGGTCTCTCTCTGGTCTCTTTCTGGTCTCTCTCTGGTCTCTCCCTGGTCTCTCTCTGGTCTCTCTCTGGTCTCTCTCTGGTCTCTCTCTGGTCTCTCTCTGGTCTCTCCCTGGTCTCTCTCTGGTCTCTCTCTGGTCTCTTTCTGGTCTCTCTCTGGTCTCTCTCTGGTCTCTCTCTGGTCTCTCCCTGATCTCTCTCTTGTCTCTTTCTGGTCTCTCTCTGGTCTCTCTCTGGTCTCTCTCTGGTCTCTCTCTTGTCTCTTTCTGGTCTATCTCTGGTCTCTCTCTCTGGTCTCTCCCTGGTCTCTCTCTTGTCTCTCTCTGGTCTCTCTCTGGTCTCTCCCTGGTCTCTCTCTCTGGTCTCTCTCTGGTCTCTCTCTGGTCTCTCTCTTGTCTCTTTCTGGTCTATCTCTGGTCTCTCTCTCTGGTCTCTCCCTGGTCTCTCTCTTGTCTCTCTCTGGTCTCACTCTGGTCTCTCTCTGGTCTCTCTCTGGTCTCTCTCTGGTCTCTCCCTGGTCTCTCTCTCTGGTCTCTCTCTGGTCTCTCTCTGGTCTCTCTCTGGTCTCTCCCTGGTCTCTCTCTGGTCTCTCTCTGGTCTCTTTCTGGTCTCTCTCTGGTCTCTCTCTGGTCTCTCTCTGGTCTCTTTCTGGTCTCTCTCTGGTCTCTCTCTGGTCTCTCTCTGGTCTCTCTCTGGTCTCTCCCTGGTCTCTCTCTCTGGTCTCTCTCTGGTCTCTCTCTGGTCTCTCTCTGGTCTCTCCCTGGTCTCTCTCTGGTCTCTCTCTGGTCTCTTTCTGGTCTCTCTCTGGTCTCTCTCTGGTCTCTCTCTGGTCTCTCCCTGGTCTCTCTCTGGTCTCTCTCTGGTCTCTTTCTGGTCTCTCTCTGGTCTCTCTCTGGTCTCTCTCTGGTCTCTCCCTGGTCTCTCTCTTGTCTCTTCCTGGTCTCTCTCTGGTCTCTCTCTGGTCTCTCTCTGGTCTCTCTCTGGTCTCTTTCTGGTCTATCTCTGGTCTCTCTCTCTGGTCTCTCCCTGGTCTCTCTCTTGTCTCTCTCTGGTCTCTCTCTGGTCTCTCCCTGGTCTCTCTCTCTGGTCTCTCTCTGGTCTCTCTCTGGTCTCTCTCTTGTCTCTTTCTGGTCTATCTCTGGTCTCTCCCTGGTCTCTCTCTTGTCTCTCTCTGGTCTCACTCTGGTCTCTCTCTGGTCTCTCTCTGGTCTCTCTCTGGTCTCTCCCTGGTCTCTCTCTCTGGTCTCTCTCTGGTCTCTCTCTGGTCTCTCTCTGGTCTCTCCCTGGTCTCTCTCTGGTCTCTCTCTGGTCTCTTTCTGGTCTCTCTCTGGTCTCTCCCTGGTCTCTCTCTGGTCTCTCTCTGGTCTCTCTCTGGTCTCTCTCTGGTCTCTCTCTGGTCTCTCCCTGGTCTCTCTCTGGTCTCTCTCTGGTCTCTTTCTGGTCTCTCTCTGGTCTCTCTCTGGTCTCTCTCTGGTCTCTCCCTGATCTCTCTCTTGTCTCTTTCTGGTCTCTCTCTGGTCTCTCTCTGGTCTCTCTCTGGTCTCTCTCTTGTCTCTTTCTGGTCTATCTCTGGTCTCTCTCTCTGGTCTCTCCCTGGTCTCTCTCTTGTCTCTCTCTGGTCTCTCTCTGGTCTCTCTCTGGTCTCTCTCTGGTCTCTCTCTTGTCTCTTTCTGGTCTATCTCTGGTCTCTCTCTCTGGTCTCTCCCTGGTCTCTCTCTTGTCTCTCTCTGGTCTCACTCTGGTCTCTCTCTGGTCTCTCTCTGGTCTCTCTCTGGTCTCTCCTGGTCTCTCTCTCTGGTCTCTCTCTGGTCTCTCTCTGGTCTCTCTCTGGTCTCTCCCTGGTCTCTCTCTGGTCTCTCTCTGGTCTCTTTCTGGTCTCTCTCTGGTCTCTCTCTGGTCTCTCTCTGGTCTCTTTCTGGTCTCTCTCTGGTCTCTCTCTGGTCTCTCTCTGGTCTCTCTCTGGTCTCTCTCTCTGGTCTCTCTCTGGTCTCTCTCTGGTCTCTCTCTGGTCTCTCTCTGGTCTCTCTCTGGTCTCTCTCTGGTCTCTTTCTGGTCTCTCTCTGGTCTCTCTCTGGTCTCTCTCTGGTCTCTCTCTGGTCTCTCTCTGGTCTCTCTCTGGTCTCTCTCTGGTTTCTTTCTGGTCTCTCTCTGGTCTCTCTCTGGTCTCTCTCTGGTCTCTCTCTGGTTTCTTTCTGGTCTCTCTCTGGTCTCTCTCTGGTCTCTCCCTGGTCTCTCTCTGGTCTCTCCCTGGTCTCTCCCTGGTCTCTCTCTGGTCTCTCCCTGGTCTCTCTCTGGTCTCTCCCTGGTCTCTCCCTGGTCTCTCTCTGGTCTCTCTGGTCTCTCTCTGGTCTCTCTCTGGTCTCTCTCTGGTCTCTCTCTGGTCTCTCTCTGGTCTCTCTCTGGTCTCTCTCTGGTCTCTTTCTGGTCTCTCTCTGGTCTCTCTCTGGTCTCTCTCTGGTCTCTCTCTGGTCTCTCTCTGGTCTCTCTCTGGTCTCTCTCTGGTCTCTTCTCTGGTCTCTCTCTGGTCTCTCTCTGGTGTCTCTCTCTGGTCTCTCTCTGGTCTCTCCCTGGTCTCTCTCTGGTCTCTTTCTGGTCTCTCTCTGGTTTCTTTCTGGTCTCTCTCTGGTCCTGGCGACTTGCCCTTTGTTTTGATCCTTTTACTTTGACAGTTCCCTGCAGTGAAGCGTCGACACGGGTCCAGACAACAGGCCAACCTTTCCCTCCTTATGGACAGAGCTGTTTTCTGTCTTTCCAACAGTAGTTTTATGACCTTTGAACTTTTCTCTCTCAGATACGAGTGCGACCAGTGCAGTTACCGCTGCCACCGCATGGACCAACTCAACAGCCACAAACTGCGGCACCAGGAGAAATCCCTCATCTGCGAAGTGTGCGCCTACTCCTGCAAACGCAAACACCAGCTGCGCCAACACATGGTCTCCAAACACTCGGAGAAGAACCATGTGTCCGCCGTGTACCAGTGCAAGTTCTGCCCCTACTCCTCCTCGCACCGCCAGGCTCTGCGGAACCACGAGAACTGCAAACACACCAAGGCCCGGCAGTTCCAGTGCGCGCTCTGCAGCTACACCTCCTTTAGCGCTGTTAGCTTGTTCTTGCACAAGCGGAAAGCACACGGATATGTACCAGGAGACCAGGCCTGGCTGCAAAACTACGCTTTGAAGGAGAAGGAGAAGAATATCACTGGAGATTTGACTGTTTTTTTTAGCAACGCAACGTCTAAGGCACCGACGGACGGAAATCCAACGGAAGTTAGCCCTAAAGATGCTAGCAAAACAAGCGCTAAAGCTGATTCTGTTTGCGATTTGAATGTTTTGACGCAAGAAGTGGCGAAAAGTGATAATGTTGAGAGTCCGAGTGAGGAGTATTGCACGCTGGTGTTGACTACGCTGCCGAGCAACGACGGGCAATCTACGATCCCGCACGACATGATCAAAAAATCAATAGATGTAGCGGAACACGGAAGCTTATCAGGCCAAACTGCTAGCGTAGCAGGTAGTTCCAGCTCAGACGAGGCCAGTTTAGACAAAACAAACCAAGTTGAGGAGTTAGAAAACATTGAACAAAGCGTTGAAAGTTGTGGCGAGGTGTTACTAAATGATAATATCGTGAAAGATTTGAAAGAATTGGAAAAGATTGAAGCTAACGCCATGGTGCTGGACGGTCACGTGGAAGTGCTGATGCTGCCAACGCAGACGTCTCGCAAAACCAACGCTGATAAAAAGTTACGTTGTGAAGATTGCGGTAAAGGATTCAAGCTAAGACAAAATTTGGAAAATCATCGTGAAAGTAAATGTCATTTAAGGAAAAACAGTGAAACAGCTGTTAGCGATGCTAGCTTACGAGAGATTGACAAAGAAATCAGGGGCAGTTCTTATAGCACTGAAACAGAATCAGAAGCTGCGTTTGGCGAAACAGCTCAAGATGTTAGCAGTGCGTCTCCGCAAGCTAACACGACTAGCTGCGGTTATGCTAAAACAAACGACAAACTTGAGTGTAATCATTGTGGTTTTACCGCTATTCGGCTCACGACAATCGAAAGACACCTCACACGCTGTTTAGCTAAACCTAGCAGCACATTTGAAACGTTACAGAAAACCAAATTAGCAACAAGAGAAGCTAACAATTTACATTGCTCCGATTGTGAGTTTGTGGCTAAGTCGAAAGCGTCTTTAAACCGACACAGAACTCTTAAACATAAGAAAACAGCGGCTGAATTTCTCTGTAAAATGTGCGCATTTATCTGCGACTCAAAACAACGCTTACTTCAACACGTAGCAGAAAAACACAAAAACATGTTTAAATGCCGGTTTTGCAAATTCACGACAACGCGAAACTACCGCCTGGAAGAACACGAGTCCATCCACACGGGAGAAGGGCGCCACACGGGGGAAGGGCGCCACACGGGAGAAGGGCGCCACACGGGGGAAGGGCGCCACACGGGAGAAGGGCGCCACACGGGAGAAGGGCGCCACACGGGAGAAGGGCGCCACACGGGAGAAGGGCGCCACACGGGAGAAGGGCGCCACACGGGGGAAGGGCGCCACACGGGGGAAGGGCGCCACACGGGAGAAGGGCGCCACACGGGAGAAGGGCGCCACACGGGAGAAGGGCGCCACACGGGAGAAGGGCGCCACACGTGCAGAACTTGCGCTAAAACCTTTGGCGCTTTGAGCAAACTGCGCAAACACCAGCAGCGCGTTCACGATGGAACGCCAACGCACTTCTGCGCTCTCTGCGACTTCTCCACCTTTTCTCCAGACGATGTTCAGCGTCACATGGTTCGCTGTCATTCAGGAGACTTGGATTTCAACTGCAGACAATGCCACGCCAAGTTTAGCTCGCAAATATCACTCACAAAGCACTGCAGGCGCGCGCATGGGCCTTTTAAACGCGGCGTTAGCGATGACGCAAACACGCATCGAAATAGCAACATGTTAGCAAACAAGACGACTTTACCGACAGCTAAGGAAGTAGAAAGTAACATGTTAGCAAACAAGACGACTTTACCGACAGCTAAGGAAGTAGAAAGTAACTCCAAAGCTCTCCACACGTGCCAGCTCTGCCAGTTCACCGCCAAAACCAGAAAACTACTCGCTCAGCACTTGTCGGAGAAGCACGAAGCTAACGAAGCTAACGAAGCTAACGTAGCGAGCGGCGAGAAGCGGCTCAAGTGCAGCCAGTGCGAGTTCACGAGTCGGTTCCAGACGGTTTTGGAGCAACATCTGAGGAGCCACGGAGGGAAGCGTCTGTACAAGTGCAACTACTGCGACTACTGCAGCGGCAACCGGCAGAAGATCACCTGGCACCTGCGCATCCACACCGGAGACAAGCCGTACAGCTGCAGCCAGTGCAACTACCACTGCACCACACCCACCAGACTGACGGTGAGACATGCACCAGACTGACGGTGAGACATGCACCAGACTGACGGTGAGACATGCACCAGACTGACGGTGAGACATGCACCAGACTGACGGTGAGACAAGCACCAGACTGACGGTGAGGCAAGCACCAGACTGACGGTGAGACATGCACCAGACTGACGGTGAGACATGCACCAGACTGACGGTGAGCCAAGCACCAGACTGACGGTGAGTCAAGCACCAGACTGACGGTGAGACATGCACCAGACTGACGGTGAGACATGCACCAGACTGACGGTGAGACATGCACCAGACTGACGGTGAGACATGCACCAGACTCACGGTGAGGCAAGCACCAGACTGACGGTGAGACATGCACCAGACTGACGGTGAGACATGCACCAGACTGACGGTGAGACATGCACCAGACTGACGGTGAGACATGCACCAGACTGACGGTGAGGCAAGCACCAGACTCACGGTGAGACATGCACCAGACTGACGGTGAGGCAAGCACCAGACTGACGGTGAGGCAAGCACCAGACTGACGGTGAGACATGCACCAGACTGACGGTGAGGCAAGCACCAGACTCACGGTGAGACATGCACCAGACTGACGGTGAGACATGCACCAGACTGACGGTGAGACATGCACCAGACTGACGGTGAGACATGCACCAGACTGACGGTGAGACATGCACCAGACTGACGGTGAGGCAAGCACCAGACTGACGGTGAGGCAAGCACCAGACTGACGGTGAGACATGCACCAGACTGACGGTGAGACATGCACCAGACTGACGGTGAGGCAAGCACCAGACTGACGGTGAGGCAAGCACCAGACTGACGGTGAGACATGCACCAGACTGACGGTGAGACATGCACCAGACTCACGGTGAGACATGCACCAGACTGACGGTGAGACATGCACCAGACTCACAGTGAGACAAGCACCAGACTCACAGTGAGACATGCACCAGACTGACGGTGAGGCAAGCACCAGACTCACGGTGAGGCAAGCACCAGACTGACGGTGAGGCAAGCACCAGACTGACTGTGAGACATGCACCAGACTGACGGTGAGACATGCACCAGACTGACGGTGAGACATGCACCAGACTGACGGTGAGACATGCACCAGACTGACGGTGAGGCATGCACCAGACTCACGGTGAGACATGCACCAGACTGACGGTGAGACATGCACCAGACTCACGGTGAGACATGCACCAGACTGACGGTGAGACATGCACCAGACTCACAGTGAGACAAGCACCAGACTCACAGTGAGACATGCACCAAACTCACGGTGAGACATGCACCAGACTGACGGTGAGGCAAGCACCAGACTGACGGTGAGGCAAGCACCAGACTGACGGTGAGACATGCACCAGACTTACGGTGAGACATGCACCAGACTCACGGTGAGACATGCACCAGACTGACGGTGAGACATGCACCAGACTCACAGTGAGACAAGCACCAGACTCACAGTGAGACATGCACCAGACTGACGGTGAGGCAAGCACCAGACTCACGGTGAGGCAAGCACCAGACTGACGGTGAGGCAAGCACCAGACTGACGGTGAGACATGCACCAGACTGACGGTGAGACATGCACCAGACTGACGGTGAGACATGCACCAGACTGACGGTGAGACATGCACCAGACTGACGGTGAGGCAAGCACCAGACTCACGGTGAGACATGCACCAGACTGACGGTGAGACATGCACCAGACTGACGGTGAGGCAAGCACCAGACTCACGGTGAGGCAAGCACCAGACTGACGGTGAGGCAAGCACCAGACTCACGGTGAGACATGCACCAGACTGACGGTGAGACATGCACCAGACTGACGGTGAGACATGCACCAGACTGACGGTGAGACATGCACCAGACTGACGGTGAGACATGCACCAGACTGACGGTGAGGCAAGCACCAGACTCACGGTGAGGCAAGCACCAGACTGACGGTGAGGCAAGCACCAGACTCACGGTGAGACATGCACCAGACTCACAGTGAGACATGCACCAGACTCACAGTGAGACATGCACCAGACTCACGGTGAGACATGCACCCACCAGACTCACAGTGAGACAAGCACCAGACTCACAGTGAGACATGCACCAGACTGACGGTGAGACATGCACCAGACTGACGGTGAGGCAAGCACCAGACTGACGGTGAGGCAAGCACCAGACTGACGGTGAGGCATGCACCAGACTGACGGTGAGACATGCACCAGACTGACGGTGAGGCAAGCACCAGACTGACGGTGAGGCAAGCACCAGACTGACGGTGAGACATGCACCAGACTGACGGTGAGGCAAGCACCAGACTGACGGTGAGACATGCACCAGACTGACGGTGAGGCAAGCACCAGACTGACGGTGAGGCAAGCACCAGACTGACGGTGAGACATGCACCAGACTGACGGTGAGACATGCACCAGACTGACGGTGAGACATGCACCAGACTGACGGTGAGACATGCACCAGACTGACGGTGAGGCAAGCACCAGACTGACGGTGAGACATGCACCAGACTGACGGTGAGGCAAGCACCAGACTGACGGTGAGACATGCACCAGACTGACGGTGAGACATGCACCAGACTGACGGTGAGACATGCACCAGACTGACGGTGAGGCAAGCACCAGACTCACAGTGAGACATGCACCAGACTGACGGTGAGACATGCACCAGACTGACGGTGAGACATGCACCAGACTCACGGTGAGACATGCACCAGACTGACGGTGAGACATGCACCAGACTCACAGTGAGACAAGCACCAGACTCACAGTGAGACATGCACCAGACTCACGGTGAGACATGCACCAGACTGACGGTGAGACATGCACCAGACTGACGGTGAGACATGCACCAGACTCACAGTGAGACATGCACCAGACTCACAGTGAGACAAGCACCAGACTCACAGTGAGACATGCACCAAACTCACGGTGAGACATGCACCAGACTGACGGTGAGGCAAGCACCAGACTGACGGTGAGACATGCACCAGACTGACGGTGAGGCAAGCACCAGACTGACGGTGAGGCAAGCACCAGACTGACGGTGAGACATGCACCAGACTGACGGTGAGACATGCACCAGACTGACGGTGAGACATGCACCAGACTGACGGTGAGACATGCACCAGACTGACGGTGAGACATGCACCAGACTGACGGTGAGGCAAGCACCAGACTCACAGTGAGACATGCACCAGACTGACGGTGAGACATGCACCAGACTGACGGTGAGACATGCACCAGACTCACGGTGAGACATGCACCAGACTGACGGTGAGACATGCACCAGACTGACGGTGAGACATGCACCAGACTCACAGTGAGACAAGCACCAGACTCACAGTGAGACATGCACCAGACTCACGGTGAGACATGCACCAGACTGACGGTGAGACATGCACCAGACTGACGGTGAGACATGCACCAGACTCACAGTGAGACATGCACCAGACTCACAGTGAGACAAGCACCAGACTCACAGTGAGACATGCACCAGACTCACGGTGAGACATGCACCAGACTCACGGTGAGACATGCACCCACCAGACTCACAGTGAGACAAGCACCAGACTCACAGTGAGACATGCACCAGACTCACGGTGAGACATGCACCAGACTGACGGTGAGACATGCACCAGACTCACGGTGAGACATGCACCCACCAGACTCACAGTGAGACAAGCACCAGACTGACGGTGAGGCAAGCACCAGACTCACGGTGAGACATGCACCCACCAGACTCACGGTGAGACATGCACCAGACTCACGGTGAGACATGCACCAGACTGACGGTGAGACATGCACCAGACTCACGGTGAGACATGCACCAGACTCACAGTGAGACATGCACCAGACTGACGGTGAGGCAAGCACCAGACTCACGGTGAGACATGCACCCACCAGACTCACAGTGAGACAAGCACCAGACTCACAGTGAGACAAGCACCAGACTCACAGTGAGACATGCACCCACCAGACTCACAGTGACACATGCACCAGACTCACGGTGAGACATGCACCAGACTCACGGTGAGACATGCACCAGACTCACGGTGACACATGCACCAGACTGACGGTGAGACATGCACCAGACTGACGGTGAGACATGCACCAGACTCACGGTGACACATGCACCAGACTGACGGTGAGACATGCACCAGACTCACAGTGAGACATGCACCAGACTGACGGTGAGACCCACATGTAGCTAGTTTGTCTTTGTTGAACAGTTGTGGTCATACCATAATGAAAAAGCCAGATCCTGTCAGACCTCTGAAGCTAAGCAGGACATGGCCTGGTTAGTACTGTGATGGGAGACCTCTGGGAACACCAGGTGCCACAGTGGAGCTGTGTGAGTGTGATGGGGCTGTCTGTTCTAAACATGTAGGAGAGGATTGTGTGTCTCTGCAGCAGCACATGTGTACAGTTGTGTGTGTGTGTTGTGTGTCTCTGCAGCAGCACATGCGTGTGCATCAGGAGGAGAGGAAGTTCCTGTGTCCTGAGTGTGGATACAAGTGCAAGTGGGCCACACAACTGAAGAGTCACATGACCAAACACACGGGTAACCATGGATACCATGCACACTCCCATCTCTCTCTGGTCTCTCTCTGGTCTCTCTCTGGTCTCTCTCTGGTCTCTCTGGTCTCTCTCTGGTCTCTCTGGTCTCTCTCTGGTCTCTCTCTGGTCTCTCTCTGGTCTCTCTCTGGTCTCTCTCTGGTCTCTCTCTGTGGTCTCTCTCTGGTCTCTCTCTGGTCTCTCTCTGGTCTCTCTCTTCTCTCTCTGGTCTCTCTCTGGTCTCTCCCTGTGGTCTCTCTCTGGTCTCTCTCTGGTCTCTCCCTGTGGTCTCTCTCTGGTCTCTCTCTGGTCTCTCTCTGGTCTCTCTCTGGTCTCTCTCCTCTCTCTCTCTGGTCTCTCCCTGTGGTCTCTCTCTCTTCTCTCTCTGGTCTCTCTGGTCTCTCTCTCTGGTCTCTCTCTGGTCTCTCTCTCTGGTCTCTCTCTCTGGTCTCTCTCTGGTCTCTCTCTGGTCTCTCTCTGGTCTCTCTCTGGTCTCTCTCTGGTCTCTCTCTGGTCTCTCCCTGTGGTCTCTCTCTGGTCTCTCTCCTCTCTCTCTCTGGTCTCTCCCTGTGGTCTCTCTCTCTTCTCTCTCTGCTCTCTCTGGTCTCTCTCTGGTCTCTCCCTGTGGTCTCTCTCTGGTCTCTCTGGTCTCTCTCTGGTCTCTCCCTGTGGTCTCTCTCTGGTCTCTCTCTGGTCTCTCTCTGGTCTCTCTCTGGTCTCTCCCTGTGGTCTCTCTCTGGTCTCTCTCTGGTCTCTCTCCTCTCTCTCTGGTCTCTCTCTGGTCTCTCTGGTCTCTCCCTGGTCTCTCTCTGGTCTCTCTCTGGTCTCTCTCTGGTCTCTCTCTGGTCTCTCCCTGTGGTCTCTCTCTGGTCTCTCTCTGGTCTCTCTCCTCTCTCTCTCTGGTCTCTCCCTGTGGTCTCTCTCTCTTCTCTCTCTGCTCTCTCTGGTCTCTCTGGTCTCTCTCCTCTCTCTCTCTGGTCTCTCTGGTCTCTCTCCTCTCTCTCTCTGGCCTCTGCCTCGCTGGTCTCCCTTGCTGGTCTCCCTCGCTGGTCTCCCTCGCTGGTCTCCCTCGCTGGTCTCTCTCTCTGGTCTCTCTCAGGTCCGTATTTTCTCTCTCACTGGTCTCCCTCGCTGGTCTCTCTCTCTCTCTGGTCTCTCTCTGGTCCCTGTTTTCTCTCTCACTGGTCTCCCTCACTGGTCTCCCTCGCTGGTCTCCCTCGCTGGTCTCCCTCTCTGGTCTCTCTCTTGTCCCTCTCTGGTCTCTCTCTGGTCTCTCTCTGGTCTCTCTCTTGTCCCTCTCTGGTCTCTCACTGGTCTCCCTCACTGGTCTCTCTCTGGTTTCTTTCTGGTTCCTCTGTTTTCTCTCACTGGTCTCCCTCGCTAGTCTCTCTCTGGTCTCTCTCTCTTGTCCCTCTCTGGTCTCTCTCTCTTGTCCCTCTCTGGTCTCTCTCTCTTGTCCCTCTCTGGTCTCTCTCTGGTCTCTCTCTGGTCCCTCCTCCTCCTTCCTGCTGTTCCTGCTGCTTCTGCTGCTGCTCTGTGTCCTCTGTGTTCTTCCTATTGTCTTCTCTTTTACTCCCAATTTTAGAAAGGCTAAAAATAACCTTACATCGCTGCTGCTTCACTAATGGAATCCAACATGGCTTCAATTCAAAAGACTAGCGCCGAAAACACGTTTCTTACATGGAAGAGATACTTCTTTTATGTTTGATTTATTTAATTGATTTTACACATTTCTAAATATATACAGTGCCTTGCGAAAGTATTCGGCCCCCTTGAACCTTTCAACATTTCGCCACATTTCAGGCTTCAAACATAAAGATATAAAAGATAATTTTTTTGTCAAGAATCAACAACAAGTGGGACACAATCTTGAAGTGGAACGAAATGTATTGGATAATTTAAACTTTTTTAACAAATAAAAAACTGAAAAGTGGGGCGTGCAATATTATTCGGCCCCCTTGCGCTAATACTTTGTAGCGCCACCTTTTGCTGCAATTACAGCTGCAAGTCGCTTGGGGTATGTCTCTATCAGTTTTGTACATCGAGAGACTGGAATTCTTGCCCATTCTTCCTTACAAAACAGCTCGAGCTCAGTGAGGTTGGATGGAGAGCGTTTGTGAACAGCAGTCTTCAGCTCTTTCCACAGATTCTCGATTGGATTCAGGTCTGGACTTTGACTTGGCCATTCTAACACCTGGATACGTCTATTTGTGAACCATTCCATTGTAGATTTGGCTTTTTGTTTTGGATCATTGTCCTGTTGGAAGATAAATCTCCGTCCCAGTCTCAGGTCTTTTGCAGACTCCAACAGGTTTTCTTCCAGAATGGTCCTGTATTTGGCTCCATCCATCTTCCCATCACTTTTAGCCATCTTCCCTGTCCCTGCTGAAGAAAAGCAGGCCCAAACCATGATGCTGCCACCACCATGTTTGACAGTGGGGATGGTGTGTTCAGGGTGATGAGCTGTGTTGCTTTTACGCCAAACATCCATCCATCCATCCATTTTCTACCCTTTAATCCATTTCTGGGTCAAGGGGGTGGCAATCAGAGATGCCACCCAAGTCTCATACAATCGTTTTGCATTGTGGCCAAAAAGTTCGATTTTGGTTTCATCTGACCAGAGCACCTTCTTCCACATGTTTGGTGTGTCTCCCAGGTGGCTTGTGGCAAACTTTAAACAAGACTTTTTATGGATATCTTTGAGAAATGGCTTTCTTCTTGCCACTCTTCCAAAAAGTCCAGATTTGTGCACAAAAAATCATGAGAAAAAATTAAAATTGTATATCTTTATGTTTGAAGCCTGAAATGTGGCGAAATGTTGAAAGGTTCAAGGGGGCCGAATACTTTTGCAAGGCGCTGTATTATGGTCGACCAGTGGGATCAGTGGGACCTTATATTTAAAGGGTCTCTCTGAAGAAGATGACATTGTCTGGGATCGCGTCTTTCATTCAGACAGAAGACATGTTTTATTGTCGATGGTAGAGACAGCACGAACAACAGATATAACAGAATGCAAGTGTATTATACAGAGCGGAGGCATGGAGACCTCCAATCAGCAGCTTCCACGGTGCCATGTAGCTTGGCCTTCAGAAGTCAAAACAAGGGAAAAGTACTGGCTTCTGCACATTGATAGAATGATGAGTTTAACTTTAACAAAAGTTGCTTAAAAGTGTTATGAAATCTCACATCTCTCTCTGGTCTCTCTCTGGTTTCTCTCTGGTCACTCTTGTTCCTCTTTGGTCCCTCTGTGCGCTCTCTCTGGCCTCTCCCTCTCTCTGGACTCTCTCTTTGGCCTCTCTCTCTCTCTCTCTCTCTGGCCTCTCTCTTTGGTCTCTTTCTAGTATATCTCTCTTTCTGACGTCTCTCTGGTGTCTCTCTGGTCTCTCACTCTCTCTCTGGTCTCTCTGTTTCTCTCTGGCCTCTCTCTCTAGTCTCTCTTTCTGGTCTCTCCTTGGTCTCTCTGGTCTCTCTCTCTGGTCTATTGCTGGTCTTTTCTGGCCTCTCTTTCTGTTCTCTCTCTCTCTGGTCTCAAGGTTTGTTTTGGCCCTTTTTCTTTGACCAGTTCCCTTCTTCCCTGTGGTGAAAAGCCGGCACGGGTCAAAACAACACGCCACCTGTTCCCACTGTCCTGTTTCTCTGTTCCACAGGGAGACAGCTCAATCCTCAACATGGAGCGGATGAATGAAGCAAGAGCCGGGAAACCAGGACACAAACGCAAACACTTCCCTGTGAGTAACCAGCACAACCAGTGTGTGTTTGTGTCCATGAGCAAGACACCTTAGTCCTGGTCTCAGGTCTCTGTCCTAAAGTCCTCTCACATTAGTCCTGGTCTCAGGTCTCTGTACTAAAGTCCTCCCACATTAGTCCTGGTCTCAGGTCTCTGCGTCCTGTGGCTCACAGAATAGACTTTAAAACAGCTCTGCTTCTCACAAGTCTCTCCATGAGATCCAGGCCAACATCTTGTGAGAATGGTCTCTTCTTGGATCTGATGGAGTTCCATGCTGCAATAAGAAGCCATATTATCATTTGCTGCTAAAAAGCTCAAAACTGCTAATCAACATTTTTACCAAAGCCTCCATTGTTCAATTCAATTCAATTCAACTTTTATAGAGTACTTTAAACACAACACATTTGATCAAAGTGCTGAACACAAGTCTAAAAACACATAAGAACATACAAAAGAATATAAATTTCACAGAAAGTCAACCCACTGAGTCAAAAACCAAAGTGAAAAGATTAGTCTTTAGAAGCAATCTCAGTAGGAACAGCTGCTGCAGTGTCCATGGATGAGAAAATGACTACCTCTGTCTTCTTGACATTAAAATGCAAAAAAATTAAAAGCCATCCAAGTTTTGACTTCATCTAAACACGCAATGAGTTTTTTTTATTTTTATTTTTTTATTTGTTTATTTGACAGGGACAGTACAAGAAAACATTGCCAGCTCAGTGGCCGATGTTATGTACATAAGGCGTCTAGCCATAGGCTAATTTGCAGCCCCCGTCCCTGGTTAGGCTTTTCAAAGGGGTTTAAAACAGAACAGAAAGATGAAAAATCAGTAAAAGGCATCAAACAATACAACAATAAAAAGAAAGAGGAGAAGACATATCTGACCACTTCCCATCCCAAGTCCGGCCAAACTGTTCAGTGCTCACACTTTTGTTTGTTCTTTAGCCACAGCTTCAGCTTTTGTGAGAAAAGTCTCAGGTCCATTTGGGACTTTAGCTCCAGTGGTAAAGAGTTCCATAACTGTGTCCCTTTTACTGAGAACGCAGACTGACCCAGAGCAGTTTTACAAAACTTCACTCTGCAGTTCCCGCTGACTCCAGCTCTGGTGCTCACTCCTTGATTAGTGTATTTGGACTGAGGCAGTGAGTGAACGCAATTGACAGATGCCTGCATAAAAATGGAACCACACTGTTTGCATAGAACATTGCATTGTTTAACAGCAAAAGATGTTGACAGAAAACAACACAAAAACTAGAAAAGGCTTCAATCGCATTTACAATTACTGAGATTCACAGGATTAGTATCATTAGTGTCATTTAAGGCGGAATTTTGACTGTACAAATGACAGACGTGACACATTTGCACAGAATTAAGCTAACTTTGCTAAAACTCATTCATTGCTAATAACAACTAATCTAAACACAATAAGAATGTGTTTGAGGGTTTCTGTCCTTGTTTAACCTTGGATTTCACTGGTTCCGTGTGTTTCCTAGTTTTGTGCGTTTCCTGGTGCTCCCTTTGGACATGCTCCACTTTCTGACCCAATATTCCAACGTTTTATTATAGTTTTATTTTAGCTCCAGATCCAGATGCTGCTTTAGAGCAGGTGGAT